GGTGCTGAGAGAATTGAACTCAATGGCATTCTGAAATAATACTAAAGCTGAATTCCACAAACTTTCTTAATGATCAGCCTAGCTTAGCTATTTCTAAATACCCTCCGCTATCTCAAGTAATAACTAAGAATGTAGGATTAAGTAAGTCTTTAGTCAAAGTCAACATTGTTCTGCCTTTTGCTTCCAGAGACATATTTACTTTTGCTGTTAATGAATAGCTTTGTGTTATTTCCATTTAAATATTTTGTATTGCCTACTACTTCCAATTTTTATTTGCTCCTTGGAGCACCTGCAATTTAACACTCAGGCTGGTACCTACATCTTTAGCATACCAGAATTTTTCAAAAACAGCCACTGAATAATACTGTTAATAACAAAAAAAAAAAAAGCCTTCCTAAACAAAAAAAACATACCTGAAGCCCCTTTCAAACAGTCACAGCTGATTTTAATATGCTACTTACCATACAATTCATCTCCTGTCTGTTGTTCTGTCATTTAAAAGCAACAGGTACATGCCAGACTGACTAGCAAATTATTCTTTCTAACCCTCCCAGTCCATGGAATCCCTTTGGAAAGAGCAAGGGGAATTTTGCTATAAGGATCACTAAAGGGTTTCCCTGGAGCATTAAATTTTTCATATTTTACCCTTACTAAATGAATTTTCTCTGCAGCGTTTTTTACGTTCTGGGATTCCTATTTATTCTACTACTAACTTGTAAATTGTGGATTATATTGTGCATGCATGCAAATTATACTCTCACTTCCCATTCCTCAACAGTATGTGCAAATGCTTATGTTTCCAATGGCCCTTGCACAAATACTGCTTAAATTATACTTTGTCTCTTTTCCCTTTCTGTGCTTATTATCTTTCTGAAGAAGGAATAGCAGTAATCTCTAGCCTTCGGTCACTAATTTTTACTAAAGCAAACTGGAATTTCCTTGTCTTTGAAACATACCAGAAGAAAAACTCATATACAACATGATATTGAAGAAGTGCTTGTTTATGTCTGGAATTTTGTCTGATTTTCCAGTTACATTAGAATCATAGAACTTTTAGATTGGAAAAGACCTGTAAGATCACTGAGTCCAACCATTAACTTAACACTGCCAAGCCCACCGCTAAACCATGTCCCTAAGCACCATATCTACATGTCTCTTAAATACCTTTAGGGATGGTGACTCCACAACTTCCCTGAGCAGCCCTAATGAGTTTGGCCTAATGAGTGCTATAATGCCTCAGTGTTACCACAGTCCTCTCAAAAGGGGGCTTGTCTCAAAGAAGAAAAATATTACATTTAAGCTAGTGTAAACATTATCAATTGCTCTCTAAGTAAACCTAAAATATGGCATGGTTTTTATATCTTCTGCAACACCTGAGTAATTGAGCCCTGAGCAGAAGATTTCAGTCTGGAGAAGATCACTCAGTCCCCAGGGTCCCGGTGCAGTGGCTCAGCTGTTGCCATAACTACCCAGGTGGCAATGGCTGTCACAGCCTCTCTGCCCTGGGAAATCCCACCTGGTTTTGGGACCTCTGCATTCTCTGGGTATGGTCCCTTGAGAGCACTTTCCCCTGGGTCAGCCTGACCTGGCATTGCAGCTATTGATCCGCTCTCTTCTTCATGCACCTTTGGAAAGAGAAGAGATGCTACTGAAGCTCAAGTACTGCAAGTATTCAGTCCTTATTTTGTGTCCACTGTTAAACAGTTGACAAACTTTACAACAGTGTCCCAAATGGAAAAAGGAACATGGGCTTCAGTGACCCTTTTGGTCACTCCATGATTGAAAGGGACAAAAGCACAGGCATGACTTAGCCCTGAGCAGACTGTAACTTCTACAAAAGCTACTGTACTGACAGCAAGCTTTGCTGACAAAACAAAGAACACCTTTTCTTTATTTTTTTTTTTAATAGTAAACTACTTCTCCTTTTTTCTGAATTATGCAATATGGATATTTTAGCTTGTGCTGTTATTGACAGTTGTTGCTGCTATTTGTATAGCTGAGGGGCTTGGGGGACAAGGGTAGTGGGTTGTTTCCCCAATATCATGAACCATTTAATGTGGTAACCAATTCAATAAAAAGCCCATAGCCTGATTTTCAGATTCGGGAAAGTTGATACAAATGCCAGATACATTACCTACAGTTGTATATCACCTAAATTCTGAATACAGTGTCATATGTATAGACTCTGCCAGCTGCTGACTTGTTTTCACTGTTCACTATGCATCTCGACTGAACAAGACAGTCTTGTTACTTTATGTTTACAAACCTCGGTTTTGTTGCAGGTTGAAGTCAAGGACGTAAAAAATAAAAATATAGTACCTAACTTTGCTTTGGACATAGTGAAGATTGCTTTAAAAAGAAGCTCACTCTGCATGTGTAAAAATGTAGATTGAACATGGTTTTACTTTGTACCTACCCAAATTTTAATACTGCTTTTATATTTTAAAACACAAAAGAAATGTAGAAGTACAGGCCTTATGTAAAATTCATCACAAATCTTCAAAACAGGTTTGATATGGCCACTGACAAATGATGTCCCATAAAGCATTGCATGACTATTTTTAACATAACTCTCATACATTATTTCTCCTGCATTGATTGCCCAGCAATATGAACACATTGAAATACAAGGCAATATAAGCGACTTTCGTATCTCTGTTTAATCTTTGCAGGACCTCTACTTCCTTGACTTCATGTGAGAAGCAAATAAAATAAGTGACACTGACAACTGGAACCATCCCAGCAGCTTAGCTCTAGCCATCTATTTGTATTAATCACTGCTGCATATACATGGTGAGTGGCTGCTAATTCAAAAGATCCCAAGCATTTCACTTGCTTCACTGTCTTCATCTTTACTTTTCCTTTACTAGGCAGTAATTTGCCTTTCAGTTGAGACCCTACAGGTTGAGCCCTCCCCCCACCAGTATCACCAGTCATTGTGGACTCTAACCCTCGGATTCTAATATTCTCACAATGCCTTTTTTCTTTGTTTTGTTGTTGTTGTTTTGTTTTCTTTTTTGTTTGTTTTTTTTTGTTTGGGTTGGGTCTTTTTTAAAGACAAAATTCCATTTCTCTATCACTTTCATAAAAGCACAACTTTCTCTTACCTCCTACCTCTCTAAAGTTGTTTACTTTGGCTCCCTCCTCATTTTTCATCCGCTACCTCCACTTTTGTCCTTTGCTGTAAGACAGATGATAAACGGCCTGAGCATTGGCATGCGTTGGCTTTCATTCCCAGTTTTGCCCACTCACTTTCTGCATCACAGGATTATCCGGGATCTGAATAAAAGCTAGGATCTATCTCCCCCAGGCAATGAAAAGCCATATTAAAGCAGGCAGACCAGAATCCATTTGCAGGCACTGTGCTCAGTGCTGGCCCCAACTTGGTACAAATCGGGACAGGGAAGGAGTCAGAGTAGAACAGATAACAAAGAGAAGAGCAAGTACTTCTCCCAGAAAAGCCTCTCTCCCCAGAAAAGGTCTCCCACCTGACTTCAGGTAACGTCTGCACAGTGCACAGGGTGGCTTTGCTGCAGCTTGGGCTGTGTGTAAGGGCTAGAGAAGTTCACTGTCCTCTGTGCCTTTGCTGGTCATGTTGCCAGCATCTGTTTACCCTTCTATAAAATGGAATAGTACCACACAAGATGTTGTGAGCCTTAGGGAAATAAGATACTTTTGAGATCCTGGGTGAAGGATACTGAAGGTGAATTCTTCACCAGGGAGCATATATTGACTAAAAGGGTTAAAAAGCATTAGAACTGGCTGTCCAGAGAAGTGATACAGCACTTAGTGCTATGGTTTAGTTAACATGGTGGTCAAAGGTTGGTCTAGATGAACTTGGTTCTTTTCCAACCTTGATGATTCTAACTTGGTGTCAGCTCTGTTTTCATTTCAGACTTTGCACCTGCACTTTTTTCCAGAATTACTGTCATTGTCATCCTGTTTGTGGATACTGGGAAGCGCCTCTTCAACCTTCCCAGTTACCTGCATTGCAAGGGCAAATTAGAAAATATTGCCACGTGCAAGCCCGAGCATTCAGCGCGAGCTCCCAACCCCCCAAAATGACTCAGTGGATCCCAGCCTACTTCCTGCTGTGTAAACAGGGGGTACGCGCAAGGACAGGCAGGATGCTCACAGCCACCGACTCTCATTTGTACTTGGAGCCAAGACTGGCACAAAGCACTGCTGCACCTCACTCCACGGGGCTCCTGGGAACGGGGAGGGGGCCCACCGCCGGGCAGCCAGCCGGGCGGGGCCCGCAGGAAGCCAGAGGGGCAGCGCTGCCGTCCCGCTCCCGGGCCATGGGGCAGCGCTGGAGTCCCGTCCCGGTGCCCGGCCGTGGGGCAGCGCTCCGCTCCCCTGCGCTCCCCCGCCCGCCCGCCGGGCTCCCCGGCCTCTGGCAACCCCCGCCACCCCCTCCCGGCCCGCTCCACCACTCGCTCCCGTGCCCGGGAAGTCCCGCCCCGCTCGGGGCGGTCGCGGCTCCCGGCCAGCCGGGGCCCTGCCGGGGTGCGGTGCTGCCGGCGGAGGCTCCTGCCTGTGGGGTGAGCGGCGGGCTTCGTGGCCTCCCGCGGCCCAGAGCCGCCTCCCGGGCGCGCCCTTGGTGCCCTCGGCCCGACAAGGCGCCCGGGCCGGGAAACTTCTCCGGAGTTGAGGGGCGAGAGCGGCTTTCTAGCCCTGCGCTACCGGCCCGGGAGAGCCGGGGCGGGAGAGGGGAAGGGCTGGCGGTGCCGCGGGGCTGGGCAGCGCAGGGGCGGGTGCCGGGGCTCGGGGCCGCCGCTCGGTGCGGGTCAGGGCTGTGGCCCGGCCCAGCCCCGGCGGAGGGGGCGGCTGCGGGACGAGGGGCAGAGCGTGGCCGGGACAGGGCGCTGAGTCAGGAGTGTAAGGGGATGAACACCTCCTTCTCTCTGGAAAACCGTTTCACGGGACCAGATGATAGTTACCAGCAGAGTAACCTTCGAGCTCAGGCGGCTTAACTGTGTGAGTGCAGCTACGCTGCTATTTTTACCGCTGATTTTTAATATTTGTACTGTCATAACAAGTTAAATATTGGAACTACGTCCCCTCTAGTACTTCCCTCCCGACAGTCCCCGAGGGTGGCTCTGGGAAGGAACAAATGCCTCAATCCAAAACTGGGACCTTCAGAGCCTGCCTGCAGCTCACTCTCCATCTGGAAGCACCCGTATCCCTGTGCAAGATGCTTCCAGAGTTGCTTAAGCTTGACAAGGCTCAACGTCAAAGCGCCAGACTTGCCTCTGAGCCTTGTTGGGATTCACACACTGTGCATGTTCTCCGTGGCCTGGGGCGCGCTGCCCTTTACAAGACACAGCTGTGACAGACTCTGCTCTCTCCTCCTCTTGCATGGGTTTGGGGAGTGCGGAGGGGAGCGCAAGTTCTGAACGAGGGAGGTTTAGGTCCCCCTGCCAAGTCTGCTTCAGGACTGTAGCCAAGCCACTGCTGGGCAGTCACCTTGTGTGTTTGGCAACCCCTCTGCAGCAGGTCTTGTATTGTGATGAATTTGACCTCAAGTTGAAGCATACAAGTCCTATTTGTGAGGAACTCAGACGAACCTAGCAAGTATTTGAATGTATATATGATCTCTAAGATACTTGTAAAAATAATTATTCTTTTTAGGTGTCTGTTGTTAGGGATGGTATCTTCTGTATGCTAGAGGCTTGTCATAGCTGTTGAACGAAACAAATTTTTAGCTAGAGGTCACTTGCATTTGGGAAATTTTGTTTTACTTGTTTGGAATTCCCTTCTGCTTTGTGTTAAATACATTATTCAATGTTCTCTGTTGTCATATGTTCTGTAGTGTTTAAAGGTTGTTGCCTTCTTTCTGCTGGAGGCTGTTTCAGTGATGGGTGAAGTGATGCTTCTAATAGGTAGTTTTGTATCATTTTGTCAGGTACTTTGGGATTGTTTTATGAAAGAGTACATAAGTGTCATTTATTATTATGAATGCCTCTCATGGTTTGGAATTTAACAGACATAATATTTGCCATTATGTCACCATCGTCACATTCATTTTTGTGGTTGTAATCAAAGATGGCAATAATGGCATTCAGATGCTTAATTATATTTTGTGTAGGTGACCAGTTCTAACTTATTAAATTAATGCATGGTGGAGCAGGAACAAGTGTCACTGCTTCCCTCTGTGGTTAGGGAGCCATCAGCTTGCTTCTCACACATAAAAATCAGTATATAGTGAAGCATATGGCACCAGTGAGTTCTGTGTTTATTAAAGGACTATTTCTCTGAACATTCTGTGAATTTTGTTCCTTATTTCACTTGATGTAGATCTAAAATGTTTTTCCCACCTTTCAAAACTTGAAATACTGAACAAGCTGAAACGAAGACTTCTTAAGGTTCATGAAAACAGTGAGACTTCTACTTTCATCAGACTGGCCACCTGTCTGGTAGGGGGAGAATAGAAATCTGTCTAAACTGTGGAAACCTAAGGTTCAAGTCCCTAGTTTGATTCAGAGCAGTTTTGAACATTTTTACATTTTCTGTATTTCTGGATAACTGGATTGCTAGCTATATTGGAAAGAGAAGGGAGTGTCCCATCTCCCTAGTTCTAAGTTACATCTTCTCAAAACTGGTAGGGTAGGTTTTCTTCTTTAATGTCATTTTCTAGTCACAAATTAGAAAACTTCCTCAGAATTTTCTAAGGAGTGGCCATGTCTTTGGTCTGATAGTAATATATACGTGGATAATAATCCAAGAAAAGCATTTTATCCTAGCAACAGCTGGGATATTTTTTACAAGTATTTAACTACTTGGATAAGATGGAAGCAAGAAGAAAGGCCACCACCATCATCCCTCATATGACAGCTTCAAGTAAATCACAATTTTTAACTTGGATGTCAGAGACCTGTAGAATCACTCTTCTCAGAGACACTCTGAAGCCCTAGTTTTGTTGAGCTAAAGCCACAGGGTTTTTCCTGAACTAATTTCTGTGCAGGAGGGGGGACCAAAGAAGAATGGTACTGCTGAACTACTCTCCCTTTTTCTGCTCTTTCAGCATCTTACCTCAAAGTGTAAAAGGAGAATTGTTTTATCCTACAGTTGTCTTTGCCTTGTCCAGTGTCACTGCAGTGAGGATTATTCACCCAATGAAAGGAATTTGACTCTTTTCCTTGCTGTGATTTGTGTACCTTCTGGCTGATGGGTCATTTTCAAATGGGTCTGGAAATGTTCGACTGGTTTTAATGCTTGAACTCTGGTGGTTTGTAAAGTTTTTTGCAGGACTTTGTTCTTGGTTATTCACTTCAGACTGGGTAGCAAGGATTTTTTAATTGTGTGTGTTGGTTGTTCCTGCTATTCCACTGCTGTACCCTGTTGGGGGTAAGAACTTAAAAACAACAGGAGTTGTGCAAGCAACAGGTTGTTGACTTTGACCACTGACAAAGCATGCAGACTCTGTAAAGGCAGTCTCTAAGTTAAAAGATACTCATTAAGTTACACACATCACCTTTACATTTTCCCTTGACTTACATTAACTTCTTTTGTGGGCTAGTTTCTTGTTGGAGCAGAAGCGGACCTTGAGAAGGGCGTTTAGGTTCCATTTCCTTACACAGCCATAAAGAACAATAGCAGTAGAAACTCTGAGGCTTTTCTGAGGATGTTTTTTTTTTCCAGTAGGTCTTCAGATTGGTTGCAAGTTTTGTGATGTAGTTGTTTGCAGAAGTGGGACATTGAATTTAGTTCTGCGCATCTAAGCTTGTCACTCACTAGTAAAGAAGGTGGTTTTCTGAAAGTCTCTGCTTATCTCAGTTGCTGCAATCTGCAATATTGAATGAAACACTGAACTCAATCCCCATGCTCTTTTCCACCTTCACAGGTCTCAGTGGATCAGTGACTGGTATGTTCTGTTGCAAAGCTGACGTTGAGGTTCATTCATATGAATTTGCTAGCTGGTAATGTCCAGTCTTGATCAGGAGGTAGTAATGCACATCAGTCATCCATTGCTTAGAGATTTGTGTGGTGAGAAGGGTGATACCTGTTCTTTGGTGTCTTAGACCTGAATGATAATGCTCCACCCAACATGCTTACTGAAATGTTTAAGCTCACATGAAAATCTCTGTGTGTGACCTTAAGTAGAGACGAAACTAATGAAAGTCAATGAGAATAACAGCAAGAGTAGTGTTTGATGTATACTGGTTTCAAATTTGAAATTTAGAGGGAATGAAGACTGGATATCCATTTCTGAAAAGCACAGGCTTTTTCCTACTTCCTCTTGTCCTAGCAGGAAAGAGCATATATGCTTGTAGCCCAGAACCCACGAGAAGCAAATATGATTCCATTTAGTCTTAAGAATACAAATGTATGTATCAACATGCAGGACATAGCCCATATTTGCATATAGCATAATGTGACTTCAGTTCTGATTTTTGGCCTAAAAACACTATGTGTGCATGTAAAATATAATTAATGTAATGTTTGACCCTGGAGGAGAATTTTTATCTGACCTTTTATTGAGAGTAATTTTGGAAGCTGCCCAAAATGTAAAATCCCCTGAAGTTCTTCTAAAGGAGATGTTAATGAAAAAACACTTACGGGTATGCTGGTCTCTCTGAGGAAGAGAAACTTCAATGTGACTTTGCTCAGAGAAGCCTAGATTTTGAGACTGTTATCTGCACAGAAATAAGGTAAAATAGAAGTCTGACTGTTCTAGTCACAACAGCTAAACTTTAACCAAATTGAAAAATTGCTCGTAGTACAAAGTGGCTTAGATTCTTCTTCTTGGGGCAAATCACTACTGGCATACATGGTCATATGCTGAGCACATGTGCTTGCTTTGATCCAAAGGTTTGGCCTCTGTACTGCGAGGTCAGTATGAGGGGCTGCACTTGTTCTGGTGTGGCAGTTCAAATGTAAGGAAGCAATCTGGTTTTTATATGTGACCCTCAGACCGGGTGAAGCTGGAAGGTCTGTCTGTCTGCCACTAACTGAGCCACGAAGGGAATACACAGTAAGAATTTTCACGTACCTTTCAGGGGAGCATTTAAAAGCTTTGCTTCTCACTTACCCAGCTTCTCATCCCAGAGTGTGCTTTCTGGAGGTTCTGAGGGCAGGGGATCAATATATTGGCCTTTCCCATAGGTGTACTAGTGTTTAAATTTCTCTTAAAGTTTAAGTGACTGCTTTTAGGCTGTAAAACATGTAATGTAACTCAAGCAGTGTAAATGGTGTGGTGTGTGTACCTGCATATTTTGCTGGGACTTCCTTTTATCACTGTAGGATTATATAAGGCTTGGGCTAAAGCTCTCCTAATTTTTTTTCATAGCACATACAGTAACCTTTTATATAGTCTTACTTTTAGTATTCCTTCTCACTTCCGTAGTGTAAAGATTTTTTGGTTGCTCAATGCATATATAGAAAGTCTAGTGAAAAACAATATTTAGTGTTTCTTTTAGCTTGGCTTCTTAAGGAAATATATGCTTCTGAATGGTTTGGGGACCAGAGGTAGGTTGTTGAGGGCTACAGCATTAACCCACTACTCTGAGTGTGTTTTGTGAAAAAATGTGGCAAGGTAAGGATAGATGATGCTTTTAAAATATTTAAATAGGAGGTCTCTAGGCTTTGAATTTCTTGGCCAATTTCTACCTGGTTGAGAGATTACACATATCTGAAATGGTGAAGTTCTTACTCACTGCACGAAGATACAGCCACCCAAAGGTGGGAAAGTGCAGGTGCCCCACTAAGGGAAGAGCTGCAATATATGCTCCTTTGGGGTTAGACAGGAGTCTGTGTAGGAGAGAGGCACTGTAAGTGTTCCCTTCCTCTCTGATAAGAGCTTTATTCAAGGCATGAAAGTTCTCCCATGTGACATCGTTCCTTAGGACACAAAGCCTTGCCTCAGTGTTGATGCCTGTGTTCATACTAGTGTGCCCTTGTCCCCTTAGTACACTTCTGCACTAGGCAAGGGGCCATACTATGAAAAGCTGTCATGATACTTTTTTTTTAATTAACAGGTATGAAGGTAGTTAAAAAAACAAAAAAACAAAAAAACAAAAAACCACTACTTCTGAATAGGTAAGATTATTTTCCTTGGCTCATTTTTCTGAGTTAGCTTGAAGTTCAGGAAATCATGATAATTTCATAGTTCCATTTTGGGAGAGGAAAAAGACCAATGTCTCTTCTGACCAATGGCAATTCTGAAGATGAGGAAGAACATTTAAGACTTTAATGAGAATAATCTGTCACCTTCAGAGCAGTATATCTGCCGTTTCTGCGGAAGAGACAGAAGTTTGCCCAGGAATTTGCATTTTGTCAGTACTTTTACCCCATTTTCAAATTCTGTTTCTTGGGCAAAATAACCCAAAAGCAACATAAGATAAGCTGTTGTCTCATGTAACATAGAGACAAACTAGTAGTGGTGTAAGGGCGCCTGTGTAGGAGTGCAGCGTCACAGGCTGTTGGACACCTTTGCAGGGACTGATACAGAGGTAATTGCTGGACTAAATGGCAGGTGAGGGGGAAGAGAGAAGTTAATTTTTTTAAATTCTTCCTGACATAGTCTACCTGTGTTGTCTTATGCTCTGCCTCTCCTCTTCCTTTGTCTTGCTGACTTTTTCCCTTGTCGCAAAATGTTTACATTTGGGGAACGGTGAGATAACCCAGCACAGACTAGCTAATGGTAATTACCTGCAGATGTGTCATATATTTCTAATTTGTGGCTTTTCCATGCTCTGTAGGGGTTGCTCAAAGTAGAATTGAATGCTCAGAACATTTCCTCCATCTGTAAATATATAGTGAACCTGCACTATGTCACATTTCCCAGGACTGCATGGTTAAAAAGGAACGACCTGCTTAAAATGCTCTTGATGCAGCCAGGACAGCCCTTGTTTCTAAATGGCAGCCATATTTAACTTTTTCTGGATACAGTAAATACCTCTCGAGCCATTCTTTTTGCTTTTTTGTAAATTTTATGTCACAGCAGTCTGGATTTAGTGTTGCTGTGATCTCACATTGTAATGTAACGGCAATAAAATGATTCCCATACCAGTCTACAGAGAATCTGTGCTAATGACATTAAAATGTGCTTACCGAATCAAAACAAATGCAGCATTAGCATGTGGAAGCTGTGTTTATGTGATTATAATGTTTCAGCAATATGAGATTACTGTAGGAAGCAACTAATCCAAACCCAAGGAGACTTCCCATTACAAGACCATTAAAATGACACAATGACTGAAGCGCAGGTTTCAGATGGGAAAAACGGAAACACAAATCTTGTCATCAGTATTCAGGCAAAACATCTGTTGAACTCAGTGGAGTTTTTACCAGACTCAGGAATGCAGTACCATGACCTTTTTAGCAGCAAGTGTCTTTTAACAATACCTCTAGGAAAAATATTTACTTCAGCAATATTTAATAATTGATGGTGAGAGTTATTTTATGTACCATACATAAAATATGGTGGTTGTAAAGATTTGTCCAGAGTTTATCACAAAACTGTTAAGGTATTGTTTCAAGGCTGTTGTGAAAAAATGCAAGTTTTGGTTATATCTTAAGGCAGTTCTCATTTTGTTTTTGTCTGAATATGTCATTTTCAGGAAATATTTATTTCTCTCTTTATAGAGCATCTGGAGGACAGAAGCCTTGGTCTATGCAGGAGCACCTTGGTAATACCACCACATAAATTAGTGATTTTCAAAACCAAAATAGCTATTTTTTCCATATATGAGCCTACCTGCTTATCTTCTGTCATAGAAATCAGCACCTTTCCCTCTCACATCAGACTGGGTTAAGATTGGGGAAATATAATTCACATGTCCTGTGTAGGACCATCTAGAATATACTTGTCTTGTCCAGGATTGTTTCTTGGCTCCCTCCTTAGGCCATGGAAAGAGGATAATATAACAAAAAGTAACTTGTCCTGTCCTATTACAAACACTCAAAATAGCCTGCATGAGTTGCCTGTGAATGTCTTTCCATCTCCACTATGAAAATGGTCTAGATGATTGCTCTGTAAAAGACATACATCATGTTAGATGGCTAAATGAGGTGATATGAATTCAGTCCTTGGTGTATGAAAGAAGCTTTTTCAGAAGAAAGTTCTGTGGAAAACGTGGCATGCAAGTCATTAGGAAAACATATAATAGTTGATTTTTGTAGTAACATATACATACTTAATCTAAGCAGCAATCTTTACTCCTTTTAAAAGCTATTTGCACCTAAAATCTGTTTTAAAAACACTCAAATTCTGATTCCAGTAAGAGAATCTTATTAGGAATAATGTATCGTTATTGCATAATCAGGGTAGGCTGTCTGTGTAAATGACAGTAGGGAAGATATCAAGACAGTGGTTTTAAAAATTATTCCAGTCACAGGTTGTTGACTGTCTTTATTTTTTATAATTCTTTTATTAAAAGCAGTGGGTTTCTAAAACCGTGTTAGTAAGCAGGCACAAGCATTAATATTAATCATATTTTTCATGCAGATAAAATTAGACCTACTTTAAATGCTCTTTGTGTCAGTTTCCATTTTTGTGATGGTTCTTATAGTTATAAAATCCTTCATCTCAATCAAAAGGTTCTGTAAATTCTGTATGTGAGCTGTAATGTGAAATCTAGAGCCTAAAAATCAACAGGTTTGTGTCTACAAGAGAAACCTGGCACTGGAACTGGTAATTTTAGATGTTTCCTGCTGTTATAAATCAGAAGACAGCAGCCTCAGGCTATAAGATGATCTCACATGTGCAACCACAGGTCTTCATAATGGGCAAACCAGATTAATTGAGGGTAGTCTAAATTAACTGTGTCAGAAAGGAATTAGTGGGAACAAATACTGAAAGTCAACTTTTCATCAAAGCTATAATCTGAAAATGAGCGAAAATTCACATTCAGTTAGAGTGACCTTTTTGAGTAACTACACTATTAAATAACTAAGTAACCGAAGTGGAAAATTGTTAAGGAAACAGACTGTAATCAATTTGTGCAAGCTTTATCAAAAGAAGTTAAATACTTGTATATTTAATTGTATGAAAAATTGTATGAAAAATATGGGTTTGTTTTGCTAACTTAATAAATTGATTGGAAAATTCTCAGTGAACATGGGGAAAGAAAAGCGTGTGTCTGATGCAGAGTGTAGTTATCACTCTTTATGCTGTCAGGGGTTTACTGAGTGCCAGAGTGTAGATATTTAACATTTAAAATAAAAAAGGCAAAAAAACCAAAGGTAACACTTAGAATTGTCATTCACTTTGCTGTGCATGTAAGAATGACTCATATCATTGAACTTTCTCCAGAATAGTAGGTTGCTCTGTAGAACGCCAGCCTTGTTCAAGGATGGAATTAATGACTGGGTTGGACAGCTTAATTGAATTGCAGTGAGCAGCAGTTTCTGACTGAGACAGGTATTTTACTTTTAATTGTTTGCTTAAGAATAATATTTTCTGAAATCATGCACTTCTTATTTGGCAAAAAAATAAATCATGATAATAATCAGCCAGCAGTCTCTTCTATGAGAGTAATTATTCTTCTGCCTTTTCAACCAAGTTAACACACTAGTTTAAGAACGAAATTCCTAAAAGAACACTTCTTCATAAGTAAGTCTGCTTTTACACAAGGCAAGTAAACATAGTCAGTCAGTTGTTTCTTTCTTATGGATGGCCAAGTTTTCATATTACAATAACTGCCAGCACTACAGACTTCACTAGGCAGGCGATAGCTGCCTTTTCCAGGGGCTGGGTCGCTCTTGTGCATTGGTGCTCTGACAGTGACTGCTTCTCGTGAGATCAAAGTACCTCCAAAGAGGTCTTGATGTTCCTGTGCCCTTTGATATGTAGAGTTCAGTGCCCTTCAGATTTCAGTTTTTCTGTCATCCTGGTGGATTAACTTTAGCAGTTAAAAGGAAAATGTCCTCTGAGGGCTTTACCAGTAACAAACCCATGTTTATGACATTATTCACTAAAAGGGAGACAGGAATGGGAAAGACCTCTCTCTTTAATCAATAATGCATGCTCTAGTTAGTCCTTTCCTCTGGACATGATTAAACATGTATTTTGTTTCATAACTGATGATTTTGGTTGACTAGGGATTTTAACTATGTATCCTCAAGCCTTTGTGACTAGCATCAGGAAGATCTAATATGAACTCCCGCTCCCGAAAGGAAAAAAAAAAAACCAAAATCCCAATAGGGAGAGCTGCAGATAATTCCAACCTGCAGTGAGTCAGGCCAAACTGGCACGGGGCCTTTGACATGAACCAACTGCAGACAGTAGCCTCAATGTTTGTCTTTGCCACTGCTCATTTAAGGTTTTGAGAAATATCACTGTTTCCTTCATGTTAGAGATGAATAAAAAAGTGTCTGAGATGCTGAGCCATATAAGTTGTGTTAGATTAAGGTCTGTACTTAAATGGTAAAATATTTGGCCAGTGAAGCACTTTGACTTCTCGACCGCTCTTTGGGGGCCACACTACATCTTTAGCAACTGTTGTCGGCCTTAGAGGAGTTGTCCTGGGCTGTTCCAGACCTCCACAGTGCAGCTGCAGGAGAACCTGAGCCCTGTTGAAGCCAAAGGAGCAGGTGATCACCCTCATCCCTGCATTCTGCATACGGAGGAGCAAACAAGGTGCCCAAACACAAACAGCTTCCTTGGTATCTGAGGGAGACAGTGAGTCTTGGAGGACAGAGATAAATAAACTGAACATACCAGTAAGAAATATTCAGCCTTGGTGCCAAGCATACTCATCTGGTGGCTCAAGCTGACAAGAATTGACAGCTGCTGAGGAGCAATGAATCCTAAATGAACATACAGTGGTTGTTACTAAATAGGAAACATTTGTCTTAATGTGATACTGACTGCAGCACAGTAAATGATGATGATTTCCTTGTACTGGAATGTGATGTGTTTACGTTGCTGGAGTACCAGCACAAGTGCAGTTGGGTAAAATCAATGCCTTGGTTTTCATCCTGACCACTCTGCTGCGAACAATGTTTGAAAACATCCCGGTGAATACACACAGTGTGTAGTTATGTGTGTGAGAGAGGAGGGAATTCAGAAATTGCCTGAGAAAGGTTTTCTGAAATGTTTTTGTTTCCTCTCTTTTTCCTTCTCAGACTCTTTTAGGATCTGATTTTTTTTTAACCTTTTGTTGAAGAAAAATGCCTTCCTTGAGAGGGAAAGTGCAGACTGTCTTGGGCCCTGTGGAGCCAGAGTGCCTTGGCTATACACTGACTCATGAGCACTTGACTATGAACTACAGCAGCTGTTTTTGTCCACCTTCTCCAGGCCAAGAGCCTTTGTCTGATGGGCCCATTGAGATGAAGAATTTGTTTTGGATTAAGCAAAATCCCTACAGCCATAAAGAAAACCTTCTTTTGTATCAGGAAACAGATGCTGTGAAGGAGGAGCTGTTGCATTTCAAAGCAGCAGGTGGTGGGACTATTGTGGAAAACACAACTACAGGAATTGGTCGGGATATGAATACTTTGAAGAAACTTGCTGAAGAAACTGGAGTTCATATTATTGCTGGTGCTGGGTTTTATGTAGATTCCACTCATTCTTCTCAAACACAGGCCATGACAGTGGAGCAGGTAAGTCTTAACCATTGCTTGAGTGTCCCTCTCCTGTGAATTATCCCTGGGTAAGCCAAAGTTGGACAGAAGTTCCAGCAAAATAGATGAAATACAGAGGTTCTCGATGTGAAAAACTTGGGAGCAGCATTACTGCTTGTGTGATATTTTTGGAAATTATATAACTTTCCTGATTTGTTTAATGATCCTAATTAACCTTTTAATTAGTTGTTTTAATTAATCATAGGTTGTGTGTTAGGCCTTAAATCATTTTTAGCCAGCATATAGCAAAAGGTTGTCATAACCAATTTTTTTGAGAACATAGCTTGGGAAGAGTACTAAAACTAAGTTTTCTTAAAGTTAACCCTGATATCCTTCAATGAACAAAGCCCATGAGAGAAAGATGTATTGTTGAAGCTGGACATCTGGAAACAAGGACCTTTTGCAGAAACCAGCTGATAACTAAGAAGGCTAATAAAGGCTCAGTATTTGTGTTGGAAAATCCCTACCAAAGGAAAAAGATACTAAAAAGACTAAAAGTATGAACTAATTAGCATAAGCAACAAGAGATTTATAACCAATAGTGTATAGAATTGTAGATAATGAAAGGGAATTATGTAATTTAGAGCCAATGGACAATAATTTCTTTGTTAAAAATGTATAAATAGGTGAAAAAGTGCTGTATTGGTGTCTGTATGGAGACAGGATTTTTGTTGGCCACATAGACACCCAGCGCTGCAAACAAAGAAATGCCTTATTAGAGGCAAGACAATACTAGAGGGTTCTTTTATTTCCTATGATTTCTAAGGTATTTGGCAACAATATAGCTGGAGCAGCACTACTTGCATGTGCTGGGGTTATCTGTCAGCATTTCCAGTTCTTAAGCTCCATTTTCTCAGAGGGATTTATTATAATGCAACAGTAAAAGGAAAATAAAGTATTTCATGTGTGGACATCTGGTACAACACCAATTATCTGGGCTTTTTTACTATTTTTAAGGAAGGAGTATATCCTTGCTAGCTCTTTTGTCTTTTTTTCTGGCTAATTGTTTCCCAGTGAGTTTACCCAGCATTCTTGTAAAAAGCATAAATAATCGCAATATTTATAGGTCAGTTGTAAATCATTGGTCTGCTCAGGCTGTGTGTTGTATCTCTCCTCTCTGTCATTTGTCCAGGCTTTTCAGGGGAGTCTACGTCAGGTTGTTTGTATCGTGCCCAAGACAATATGTTAATAATAACTGAGGTCCCCAGATATTCCTATAATAATAAATATTCATTCATCTTTTATTAAGAAAAGGTGATGATGGAGACAAGAGGGAACAGAAATCTCCAAGGCAGGAGGCTTTGAATGTGAATGAACGGAGCTGAGAAAAATTTTAAAGATCTGTTACAGTTCACAAATGAGTCAAATTCATTTTAAAAATCAATGGTCAAAACTTGAGCAGTGCTGCCAACAAAATTAGACCCTAGCTGGCCCAAGCTGTATGCAACAGTCCTGCTTTTCCTAAATGTTCTTCCATCACTTGAAATTTGATACAAATAGTTTTCTTGAGGCAAAGGTTTCCCTTCTGTATTTGGGGGATTGATGGAGACCCACAGATGTCCTGTACTGAGCACTTCATCCAGTCCAGAAGGCAGGTCACCATCAGAACCATTTTTTGCTCAGTTCTGAATGTATGCTTAAGATGTGTGGCCTATTCTGGAAAAGAATAACTAAAGATTTTATAACAAACTACTTTTATTAAGAGATTCTGATGTCTTTTTTTTCCTGTGAATATTTTAAAAGCAAGCTAATTTTGACCTTGTAAATTTGTCAGATAAGCTTTGTTTTTGTGGTCCTGAAGTCAGCAGAGCTCCTCTTGTTTTACATCCACATTCCCATAAGCGGGATTTGTCTTAAATTTGTCTCTTCAGGATCTTTGCCAGAGTTTTTCCCTTCCCTGTCTGAATGACAAGGTTTCCTTATTCTCTGAGCCCTTGTTTTGCAAGAAATTACATTGAATTGTGTCTGGAGCCAATTCACGAGTGCAAGGCACAGGTTTGGGAATAAACTAACTTTTTTTTTTAAAGAAAACTTATCTCAGGCTAAATCACAGTACAAATTATATGTAGACCAGTGTTCTTGGCAAACCTGGACAAATGTGCGAACGGATACTGTTAAATTAATTTGCTTCTCTCTTTATTTTGGTTTTAGTGAATGGCTGGCATAACATTAGTTGACAGAAACCAGATTTTAACTACAGTGTTTTCACACACCCAGCTGTTAATTAAATAAGTTCAGAAAGACCTTGGGAGTATAACAAGTACAGTGTCCATAGGCCAAATTTGATGCTATTTAACACAAATAGTATTAATAACCAAAAATCTCTTCCTGTTCTCTAGCTGACAAACATTATTGTTGATGAGATGCTCAAAGGAGCGGATGGGACTAACATCAAGTGTGGTGTGGTGGGAGAAATAGGTTGCTCCTGGCCTTTGACTCAGAGTGAACACCGTGTGCTCCAGGCAACAGCACAGGCTCAGTCACAGCTTGGATGCCCTGTTATCATCCATCCTGGCAGGAGCAGCGACTCCCCTTTCCAGATTGTCCGCATTCTGCAGGAAGCTGGGGCTGATGCTTCAAAGACGGTCATGTCTCACCTGGACAGGTAAGCAGACTATTCTGCTGTCCATCCAGCAGTGTTGCCACAGCTCACTGGGGTTTACGGAACTATGCTGGATATAGTTGACATAAAGTATTATCTTCAAGTTTACTGTCTTAAAAATAAATGCTTTTATAGAGCTTGGTTGGTGTCCAGCACTTCAGTCAGGATCAGCTTTTAGATTCCTATTGATGAAGAGACTTTGGTATTTTAAATGCTCTCTTTGAAAGCCTGGGAGAGAGATTAGGAGGAAGTGTAACCACATTTTAAAAATCAGAATTCCATTAATTTGTATCCCTGAACAAATCCCTGTATTTACAAAGCATTGGACATTGAGCAGCTCTCACCAAATCGGGTGGGAAGTTGCTGGGCTTCTAGCATTTTTGAAAACTGGATCACTCTTAAGGGCCTTACCAAAATCTCACAGAAGCTAATGGAAAACTTGATTTTTCTGGATTCTGGGTCAAAGCAGAAGGCAGATTTTTAATGTTCTGCTACCAGACAGAAGAAATATTGCTTAAAAAGAGAATAGTTGGGTTTTGAATAGTTCATGGTGTAGTCCGGGTAGCTAACTTACAGCTTTCTCAAGAACAAAACCCAGGAGCTCCACATCAGGCATGGAGAGAAACTGGGATACTTTTTTGTCTCCAGCTTAGAAATACAGCCTCTATTACCAAATCAGTTTTGTATGACCTTGTGTTGCTCACGGTGAGCTGGAATATGTCCAAGCATTGATTAGTTTGGCCAGTTGCTGAATAATGGAGACTGTTTGTGGTCATATGATTCTCAGCAATTGGATTGTTTGCCCTCAGTGTGAGTGCAGTATAGGCAACAACACTGTGCTCCAAATTTCTGATAGTTGTAGGCTCTAAGAGGTAGCATATGAGGTACAGGTGTTTTGTAGGCAAAGCTCCTTGTTTTACTTATAAATGATACAGACTTCCTTTATGTATTTACCTGCATTCCATTTTATCTATGGCTGTATTTTCCTCCCCTTTTTAAAGAAAAACTGATCACTTAAATCTTTTTATGAAAGACAACTGAGAAAGCTGCAGATATCAGTACTTACATAGCCATTTTGATAAAACATAAACATACAGTTATGGGTTTTTTGCCTTTATACATTGTTGTAAATTGTTGAATTAAGTATTTTAAGAATTAAGTAATTTATTGGTGGAAGTTAAGCAATATAAGCAGGAAAATAGTCAAGACAGTGGTGCAGTTTCACTTACAGCCACTGATGCACAATATGACATTTCCTTATATCTCTTTCTATCATTACTTTCACACATTCAGGTTGGCACTTGCTATAACATAAACTACTGTGAAGTTTGGCTTTCCAATGTGCATTTAACATTTTAAGTCTCCTCCAGTGAGAAAAATCCATGTGGGAGCATCCCAGTCCTTTAAATGTGAGATAAATTTGTACATAGCTCCACATTTCTTGTCTGCATTTGACATAGGCAGAATGGTAGTTTGCAAGTGGATTTACAATGAAATGGTAAAGCTAAAATACTGGCTACCATGTTTTGCAATTTAGCATCGTAGAACAAAAGGTAGCAAGTGTCCATAATGGAATATGTGTCCATATGGTGCAGTTAAAGGCTGGGAAGCAAAAGCTATTGAGCCTTGGCTTTGGCCATTCATTAGGGGTTAAGGTTAAAAAGGTATCTTGGTAGGGATCAACATTCATTCACTTTTAGCTTTTGTTAGAAGGCTCACAGCGACTGCTCTGAATATGGGCTTCATAATGGTTTGGTGGCTGTCCCCATGGGGATTTACAGATGAGACCCAAACTACAGAATGCTTCACTGTGTCCTTTTCCATGAGCTCAGGGCAGCTCAGGCACAGTGTTGCCCAAACATCCAATTCCAGCACAGAGATCCACAATCTGAGCTGGGTACTGCTGCTGTTGCTGCATCTCCATAGCTCACAATGGGACCCAAAGGCTGATGAAACTAAGCTCTCCAGCTCTTCGTTAGGACAGAGCACCAAAAGCATGACGGTAACAATAGTCTTAAAAAGAAATTGTTGGGCTGTGATTTTGAAATATATTGTTGGGTGTTTTTGCTATGTGCACCAGGACTGAATACTCTTGGCAACTGTCTCCCCATGAACCAAGCAGGGCTGAATCTAAAATAACCTGTTCTCTTGCTCTGCAGTTGAAAAAATCATTTGGTAATAAATGTTCAGTCTCTGTAAACTGTAATATTTATTTTAAAATAACATTTTTTATTAATTACAGTTGGCAAGTCTTAGACTCCTGCTGATGGCAGGCTTGTTTGAACAAGGGTTTTGTCTCTCTCAACCCATCTGTTCCTCCTACTTTCAGTCCTGTTGTTAAGTCATAATATTGAAAGTGTGACATCAGTCATTTCCATAGCAACAGACTGTGATGTAATTGTATAGGGTAAAACTACTTTGTGACATCAATATCTGCAATAATAATAAAAAAAATTTAACTACTGCCCTTTTACTTAACTGTGATGTTCTTGTGGAAACTTGGTTTTTAATTAGATGAAAAAAATTGTGTTGTGGCTATAAAGATTAAATTGTATCATTTGAGTGTTTTTGGTTTCCTTTGGACAGCTTATACACTTGGTAAAAATTGTTCAGAGAAAACCCAGAATATTCCGGAGAACTCTTATTTCTGTTGCTGTTCTTTTCCAAATGAGTGATATGTGTTAGAAGCTTTGTTCCTTCACTTTTCAAATCTTCTGTAAAGTCCATGTCCCAGGCACTCACAGTGCCATTATATATTTTGGTGAGAGCATTTCCTTAAGGCGTTCTGGCCAGATCCCAGTGCAAACAATGATATATTGCTGTTCTAATGGCAATCTAGAAACATCACTGTACAGAATAGAAACTAAATACAAAGTTGTGTATTACCGGTGTGTGATGGATGAAACAAGCCCTGGATGGAGCTGTCTTCTGTAAGTCTTTTGGGAAAGTAAATCTGCCTTGTGTAAGTAATCCATTGTCTTTTTTTTTTTTTCTAAATGTCACTATGAATTAACCTCCTCCTTTAATGTCCTTCCTGGTTAGGTTGTCTGTTGAGAGGGTTAATGATATCAAAAGTAAGTAACTTTCCTCTTTCCATTTAAAGATTATCATAGCTGTTTTCATTATTTCATGGGGAAAGAGTTGGGGTTTTTTTTGTTTTTTTTTTTAAAATGCATGAAATCCCAAATGAATATGAGAAAGACAGTGCTGTGTTATCAGCTTAAGTTGCATGTGTCAAGTAGGAGTCCTGTTTTTCAAAAGGATGAATTAAATCTTAGATTATTGGTTTTTTTTCCTTGCAAGTAGGAGGTCACAAAATTACTGTCCTCATGCCATGAGATATTTTATTCCTGTTTTACAGTGCTGACTCTGTGTTATATATGTTCTGCAGGACCATATTTGATACAAAGAAACTTCTGGAATTTGCTAAACTTGGATGCTATTTAGAGTATGACCTATTTGGTACAGAATTTCTTCACTACCAGTTCCATCCTGATATTGACATGCCGAGCGACAATGAAAGAATTGCAAGGTATCTGCTCCCATGCAGTTTAAGCTATAGCATGGCCATTGACAAAAGCATATTATTGGTACTTAAGACCATCACAGAGTGATTCTGCTTGCTGTTCAAAATTGTCTTCTTTCATACTAAAATAATGCCATTTCCCCCTGCTGCAGTCACACCCTTAGAGCAGCATGTATCATTTCTTCTATCTGCAGAGGAAGATGCAGAATCATAGTGTTGTACAAAGTTACTTGAGAAGAACATCAAAAGCTTCATTCTCTGTCCTAATTCCATGCTGATCTGGTTGAATTTTATAATTTACCGCATTTATACAGTCTGTTTAAAAAAAAAGGGTGGTGATACTGGATTGATGTTAGGGTTTGGCTTTTATTTGAAACATAGCATTGGAAACCTAGTGCTGCTACTAAGCGTCATCTGAGCCTGTTATATCTCCTCAGTAGTGTGCTAACCCAGTAAAACTTGCTGGTTATTTTGGGTGGATTTGATCCTGTGCTTCTCTCATGAAAAACTGCCTTTTTTTTTCCCAAGCACTTTATCACCTTTCCACCCCTTTCCTTTTGCCCTTTCTCTCCTTTGAAGGATGCAAGTCCTGTCTCCTCAGAGCTCTCATACTCCTCACACTCACTCACAATGTGAAAATATTGGCCCCACTGGCAGGATACCTCTTCCCTGCTTCTCATCAGCACTTGCAGTCTCAGCTCAGCTGCACAGCAAATCTGTTGTGCTGTGCTAACACAAGGTATTCCCAAGGAGATGCATTCTGTGCAGAAACTGTCTGAGAGAAGGTAGGATCAGCTGGGAATGGGCACCTCACTTTTTCCACTCTATCTGGAGGTGTGATCCTTCTGTGCTGTTTGTCCACAGTGTTTGTGGGCAGTGAAGTGGCAGGTTTCTGAGGGTCGAGGTGCCATCCTGCCTGTGTCTTTTTACCTTCCAGAGTCAAAAATTGTTCTTATGTTCTCCTTGATGAGAAGGATTTTATGATCTCTGATCACTAATGAAGTAAATTCTAGCTTCCACTTACACTTCAGACATAGCTTCTCTCCCCCTCATTGTCAGATTAACCTTGAAACTAATTTCTGTTTTCAAACTGTTCCCTCCTAAGAAGGTGCCGTGGTTACTCTTCCACTCACTGCCAAGCATTTGCTGCTGCTTTTCACATTAGGAATAGTTTCTCTCTCTTAACAGTGCTCTCAGTCTGGCACTCAGTATTTTAAACTGTTGCAGTGAATCTGCAGGTTTCACATTTAGAATGGATAAAGTTGCTCCCTCTCCTGTGCCTCCTCCCCTCTCCTGTGCCATGGAAGGTCAACTTCTATGGAAGCACTGTGGAATACATATAGAGAACTGGACTATGCCTTGGTTAACAAGTGCTTGTTCAACCGTGGCAGAGTTTTCATTCCATCCATAATACTTGCTCAGCCACTGATGTCTCTCCTTAAACTCTCTGGCACTTGAGTATTTCTTGCTGCAGGCTGTTCACAGGAAGAAGTGACGAAAAGTTTGTCTTCTCATTGTATGGTGTGAAAATGTGTATTCGAGTTAGAAGTGCCCCTAAATGGATATTGATGCACCCAAGATGGACTCGAGATGGCAGTGGCAATATCCTTAGGGTTTTGTTTTGTGAAACAGCTCCAGAGAGGTAGAAATCAAATTGACCTCTATATGAAAATATATAAGGGAAATTATATCTTCAGGTCTTTTCTATTCAAAACATAAACTTATGTAGTCATAATGTACCTACTGAACACAGTTTAGCCATCTGTGTACTTCAGCAGTTTGACTGCAATCTACTGCTAATGCAAGTAAAATACTGATTTTTGTTCAGGGACAGTTTTAATTTGAGTCAGAAGAAAGTACTAACTAAACTAAGGAGCCTTGAATACGAAATGGAAAGGATCATATGCCTCCTCAACCCGTGAAATTAGTCCAAATATGAAAGAAGATGATTCTAAATGATGTTTGGTCAGCAAACAACTTAGTTCCCCCAGTGCCATTGCTCTTACTCTCTGTTGAGAATTGGAACAGGCTGCCCAGGGAAGTGGTCACAGCACCAAGCCTGTCTGAGTTCAAGAAGCATTTAGCTCTCAGGCACATGGTGTGATTCTTGGGGTGTCCTGCAAAGGGTCAGGAGTTGGACTCAATGATCCTGATGGGGTCCCTTCCAACTCATTCTATAATACTATTCTATAGTCTCTCTGTATTTCAGGCTGGAGTAGATACTTGTGATGTTGTAATGCTATGGTATACATAGTGTTGTGCACTCTATGGCACTGGTTATGGTGTTTTTTTCTGAAAGATGATAATATTTTACCAAAATCTATCCTATGTGCTTTCTTTCTGCTGCCCATATTGATTAGATCCTGCTACATGTATCTCCTCATAACTAATTGCAATAAAAACTGACAGTAAGGGCTTTCAGATACAGCGTAGTTACTTATAAAACTGGTATCTGTTTTCTTGTTGATCAAAGCACAGTCAGGAAGGTAAGAATCAGAATTTCACAGTGCTGGCAAATGACTGAATTGGAGGCCTACATGAGGAACAAGCACTTTCCAGGTCTGGTCTGTCTGTCTCTGCCACTTCAATGCAGGAATCTACTGCCAAACTACACTGAAGCTTACTGGGAAGCTTAACAGTTGTGTAATACAGGTGTTCAGACTCACCTAATAAATACTAAAAAATTAGCTGATCAAGGATTAAGGCTACCTGAGTGAAACATGAAACAGAAGGACTTATAGAAGTCCCGATACAAGGGAGTGACCAGACGGATTACTTCTTTTTCCAAGCTGGCTTGTCATTTTGCCAAACCTGTTCAGCTGGGTTGCCATATTCACTCCTCTTATTTCCTGGCACATGCTAGCACTGTGCCATGCCAGTCTTATTTCTGTTCTTCCTTAATGAATATCTTTGAAATGTGTTTGGATGATAACTGTCTATATGGAACATGATGGTGGCAACTTCATATTTTTATTAACCTGGTTTGCTAAATGGGATTTAACTGAAGATGTGGAAGTATTTGTGCAATTGAGCCAGGCTTCTTAAAGGACCTGTCACACACAGTCTGGTCATTAGCAAATGTAATTGGATCAGCTTTGTGACGGCAGCAAGAAGTAACCTGCTGAGAAAGAGTTTAGGTAGGAAATTATTACTTACTCATGTGTATAAAACCTGTGTCCCATGCATGGTGATGCTGAAGCTCTTGAATTCCTCTGTGAACTTCATGGGACTGGGAATGCAAAGCCATGTGCCAAATGGAAAGAGTTTTCCTTCTCCATTTTGAGATGTGTGGTGGTATGTTTTCAGAGGTGGGTTTTTTTCATGCAATAAAAAATGTGTTTTAATTTCAAGTAAATATAAGGAGTATGTTTTCTGAGCACCTAAAATAACTATTTTCTGCTATAATAGAGTCCAGCAGTACAGTAATATAAGAAATGTAAATCCTGGTTGCTTCTGTGCTGTTGCAGAGTGAGAACTTCACTGACAGGTGTGCTTTTAATTTTTCAGGATTCGTACACTGATTGATGAAGGCTATGAAGACAGAATTCTGATGGCTCATGATGTGCACACCAAGAACAGGTTGATGAAATATGGAGGTCATGGATATTCACATATCTTTGAAAATATAGTTCCTAAAATGCTAATTAGAGGCATATCCCAAGATAAAATTGATAAAATACTCCTAGCAAATCCAAAGCGGTGGTTGACTTTTAAGTAGGAATAATGAATAATTATTCCTATTCTGTAGAGAAACTTGATAAAATTCAAATTTCTTTCCAGAGAGCAGTCATTTTAAAATTTGGTTCTTTTCAGAGAAACTGAAAATTATTAAGGAGATGCAAACAAACTGATTATAAATTTTCTTTGTAATTAGAACATCAAAATTGAGTACTGTCTCTGCATCTTCTCCCTTCTGGAAATTTGTTCATGAGTGATTTACTGAATATGAACCTACCCCAAAATCTTTTCCATAGAAATTTTAAAATAATTGTTTCAAGAGCGTAATCTAATACTATTATTGAATGTTACCCCAAACTACTTTTGAAGATGCACCACCTGGACTTTGAAAGAAATTATGGTTTTCAGTTAAATTTCCTGTCTCTGGGGGCTGATTTTAATCTTTGTAACACTGACAATCTTCTCATTATCCTTGTATTCTTTGAGTAATGCTTGATGAAAGGTCTGTAACTTTTAAATACCTTCTGTAGACAACACAAGGCAAAAGAAATCTCAAATCTAAAAAGGTATTTTTTTTTATAATTTAACAATTTACTTAATTTTAACTGAAAGTGTAAAAAATACATGGAAAAATATATTTTTGAATAAAGCAATTTGATGATCTCTTAAACTATGTGCAGTATTATTACAGATGTCTTTTTTTAATCACATTTTTTTTATCATGAACTTTTGGAATCTCACAGTGATCATGTAAAACTTGACACAGACCAGCTTCTTTTTGTAAAGATGCAACACCAGAAGTCAAAATATATTACATAATACAGTTTTAATGAGTTCTAATAGTTATAACAAAGGTTGTGATATAAGTCTTTACAAATCAGTATATCAAGATATGATGAAAAAGGAAGAAATGTTTGCCTTATATGTGATTTTTACATAAAGCGTGTTCTTTGCTCTTGTCTAACTTTATCCAGGGCATGTGATCTATTCAAAAAATGGTGTTATCCAGTAGCAGTGGGAGCCTGATTTCAAAAGCTTCTTCAAATTTGACCATGTACATCTTGTAGTATTGAGCCTTTCCAATAAACACCTTAGTAAATACGCACTGCTGGTTGTGAATGATCTCTAGCTTGGTGCATCGGTGTGTGGCACTACATAGAGGATCTCTACCTACACTGCTGTGTGAGTGCACTGACCAGTAAAACAACAGTGGAGCGAACAGACCAAGTTCAGTTACACATTTGTTATTAAAGTAATTGCCTCATAGAAATAAAACAGGAGTAATCACTACAATGTACAGATACAGATTGGCACTTCATCATAAAGTAAGAGCGTTAACCATTCTGGTGGGATAATACACAAGCAGCTGGCAGCACTATGTCCCCTTATAAACCCTACATGAGTTTGCCTGGTGATCCTCTCCGTCAGCCGAGACTCACTCGGCGTTTGTTTTGAATTGGACGACTCAAAACAGAAACAAAGAGTAACATGCTCCGTTTAAGAGAAGCGTCACTTATTCAGATGAGATTTTTAGAGAGATGTGTACAATCTTTATCAGACTTTTGCTGAGCAGCCAGCACTGGAGAGCTTTTTTGTCACAGTGGCAGACACTTCAGACATTTTAGTGCAGATAAATCTGAGTTTGTACCCTTGGTACATTAGACAAGGTTGCTTGTGGCAAAGTACATGAAATAGCAATGGTAGGGGTAGCCTCTATTATACTTTAATGATTTATAGAAATGTTGCCTTGATTTTGCCGAAATGTTAAAAATAAATAACATAACCAACTGTGCTAAAGAACTATTTAGTAATCTTGCTAAAATTTAGGTTTAGAATGAAATCTGCGAGTTTTAACCTGAGAGAAACAGACAGCCTCCCAAAACCAAAACAAATAATAAATCCATTTTCTGAATAAAAATATTCTGTGGACATTACTGGTATGACTGATTCTAAAGCATTTTTATAACTATGTAACTCATAGTATCTGTGTTTAGTTTAATTCTCCAAGCCATTAATCCTCTATATGGATTAAACCTCTTTTAGATTTTATATATCTATATCTATACATATATGAATGAGAAAAATAAGTTTTAATACACACTTTTTTTTTTGCATGTAAATATTTGCTTCTTTCTTTGCATATGTGTTAATCATTTTTGGTAATATGCTCAACTGCGTCCATCTCATAGGCACACCTTACTACAAACTGGTAACTAGCTTCCATGGAAAAGGTCTATGTGACAGCATTTTCTTATGTGTCAGATCTCCCACTCCTCCTTTGTGGGAAGAATCCCAGTAACTTCAGTGAGACAAGACACCTAAGACAATTAAGGTTTTGAACCATTGTATTCCTACAAAATTCTAGTGGAACATCTGCAGTATATTAATCCATAACTACTTTATTAAAAATAGTACCCAAGTACAGACTAAGTGCTAAAAGACTAATGAAAACTAATTGCTGCAAAGAAAACACTCTACCTTAGTGTGATGATGTGGATGATAGGCTTTCTAAATATTTACACAACTAACCATCAAGAATGGGCCTGTAATAATTGTCTAAATATATATTTACACGTATACAAATCAAAAAAGCCAAATCCCTTTTCCACTAATAGCAATGGGAGTTTTGCCATTGGCTTTGGTGGAATCAGGGATTTGATCCAACAGAATAGTTTGTCAACTATTACATTTTTCAGGGGAAAATAAAGTGTTTCTTCTATCCTCCTTTTTCTTTTAGAACACAGCTAAGGGAAAGACAAAATTTAAACAACTCCACTGGACTGATTTTATGTTAAAAGTCTAATGTAAACCTACAAAGCAGGAACATTGAGTTAAGGCTTGAAGATGATTAGTTTCTAGTTTTAAGTGGAAGGGTAAGAAAAGTACAAGGCAAACAATTTCTTTGCAGAGAGAAAGTATATATTTTGATTACCTCTTCCTTTTATTGTAAAATCATTCCTCACCACACTATCAGTGGACTCCAAGCATCATTGTTAGCAAGTAAGTCACAAGAACCAAAGCTGAAGTATGGATAAAGCAGCAAGATCATAACACATCAAAGTATCATATACACTGAAGAAATAACTCAGCGTCCTTAGGTGGGCTTTTTTCCTATAAAAATTTGATCTATGTAGAACTTCATTCACATGGACACTAACAATGAGGAAGTATTTGCTTTGGCGGTAGTGGATCGCACACCTGTTGAGCTTGTTTTGTCGTTTTTTAACATAAGATTTCTCTGTGTTGTACAGATGTGAATCAGGTAGCATTTGACTTTTTTCCCCCGCTACTGAGGTGTTTGGTGGTCGCTCTCTGCTGGGGTACTTGTTTCATTGACTTTTGCCACGCAAATCCATCACTTAGAAGAGCAGGCTTCATTTTTGGACTGGTTTGGTGGGTCTTTTTACTCATTATCAGTCAGCATAAATAATAAATCCAGAAAATGTGCTGTATTTGTTGTTGTTTCCTCCATGTGCTTTTCCTCCATCTAATTTAATGTAAACTTCGTCTCCTGGCTCCAAGTGAAGCACCACGCTGTTACTGGCATAGTCGTAGTTCTGATCCGCATCCTGAGCAATCGCACTAGCTCGAACCTACATAAAATACACAATGAGTGGTTAAGAAAACTCAGGTGGCTTTTCTTGCATTGTGAACTTATAGCATATCCTCAGCATTTTATTCACCGTGCATGAGTTGCCACTTTAAACATCTGGCAACCTATATTTCATGTTTTTTCCTGCGGTTATTGCTTATTTTCTCCTACAACACCTGAAACTAAAGCAATAACACGCTCCTTTCTCAGTCATCTGATGAATACAAAACTTCTTGATCTCCTGTAAATGTCTGGAGCCTTTTTAAATATATGTGTAAGAATAACTGGAGTTGGTCATGTGCTAGTTTTACATTGGTGTAACTTTTATTTCAGTGGGACAAGTGATTGACAATGGTGAGGATCCACAGGGAGCTCCCCAGCTGGACTTTTTCCAGAGGCAGTTTATTGTCATACCAGTAATAGGATCATGCTGCAGAAAAGAATACAAGAAATACACACCCACCCACACACATGCACACAAGCAGGTAAGGATCCTAGTCTGGGTTTGAAAAAACTCCTATTGCCACATTTCAGTAAGCAAAAATTTAATTTCACTGTGTTTTAAGAGATACAGCTTTGAAAAATCACAGGAAAGTCACTATTTGCTTTAAGAGGTTTTTGGAATTTACATGTCATTGAGGACTTTTCATTTGCAACTTTCCCTTAAACATACTTTTTCCCCCATTTCTCCCTTGCTATTCCGCTACTGATTAAATTTGACATTTCTTGCAAACTGGAAGTAATCTGTAGTTTCAATATATATGCTGGTTTCCAGCAATGAGCAGTCTATGCCACTGTAAGTCTCCAAATAATTTATATATAATTTGACCGTGTTTGGTAAAATATTTAAAGATGGTTGTATGTGATTTATTCCAGTGTAACACGTCATCTGCTTGTTGCTTGTCTTTGTTCTAGCGTAGTTACAGAGCAGTAAATGATTAAGTGGCATTGCAAAGCTGAACTAAGTAATAATGCATGACTTGGCGTACTATATGTGGGATTTTATCTGTTCTGAATTGAAAAAATAGGCTATAAGTCACAATTTTCCATGGATTCCTTTCAAAGTTTACATGATAAATTTCCAAATTAAATTTTCATGTGATATGATTTCACATTAATATTGAAATGTTATAAAGGAACGGGTTCTTTTACCATGCAGGATCTTATGGCATTATGCAGCTTAAAGATCACAGTAGGTGGAAATTCTTTATGCATCCTGTAAGAAGAGTGAGAAAGGCTGCAAAAGCTTGCAGTGCTGTGACAGGCTGCAAATTTAAACTGATACATGGCATGATGATTAGCCCCGACTATTTCAGGACTTCTTGATTCTGACTTGCCTGGTATTGTTTACCATTATTGATCTATTTTGCTAGTGTTTAAGTGATAATTATTCTAAGCACCGGATGTTTCCTCGGGATTAATTACGGGCAGGGTGGAGTCGAAGGCTCTCTGGGTCATTAACCCTGGAAATACCTTCCAGAGAAAATAACAGACTGAAATGGTTGCTGGCCGTGTAAATGGAAAGGGCAAACGGTGAGGAGTGAAAAGCGAAAAGACTATACATGAGATAGAAAAACTTTCAACCAGTGTCTTGCGTACTGGCAAGCAGACGGTTTTAATATACTTTTCCAATTCCCATTTACATCCTAATGAAATACTACTTTGTGGATTTGTATAAAACGTTGTGTTTCTGTGGATAGTAAAGGAGAACTCAAATTATATTAGTGACTATCCTAAAGGAGTCAGCATGTGGACACTGACTACAACAGCAATGGATATTTCATTTTTAAGATTCTACATAGTACATACTGGATGAAAAAAAAAATATTTTGGGTGTTGAAAGTCTAGAAACCAAAGTGCAGATCTTACTGCCCTGTGTATAGCAGCAAAGGTCCCATAGACTCCAGTACACTATTCCTAGGGGTTTTACCTCCTTGCTTGGTTAGCCAGAGCAATTTCTTTTTAAAGCCTAGGAGAACAGTCTCAAATGAATTCTCAGTGAGTGTACTGCTGCGAGACAGTAAATGTAACTCAAAATTAAACCATTAAGGGACAATACATTTCACAAGTTCATGCAAGTTTTTTCATGAAGCTGTGCTCTCTGGCTGCACACACATATTTGCTTAGCCATCTCAGCACTTCCCTGTTCAAGTCTGATAACCATTAAAGTACCATTAACACCGAGGACCTTGAGGTTCTACATATGTACTGCTTAGAAATGATATTTGATATACACTTTCCAATGGTTTGGCTTTTTTCATTGTTAGAAAACACTGGATTTGTAACGTTACCTTTGTCACTCCACAACTTCCAAAATTTCTGAGCTTTCTTATAAATAATACACAAAGTGTATTATAAGTGTCACATCAACATTTAGTGTTTCAAGTATAAATCATAATCACTGATGGATTAAAACTGCGGGTCCATTTCAAACAGTTTATATGCAGTTTATATTACCTAAATACTTGTCTCGCATGGGTATATACAAATATGTTCACAGAAGCCCTGGCCTTTTTTTTTCTTCTTTGAATAACTACGAGTTTAATTTGTCTGTCTGGTACTGGAAGTAGCTATATTTGGGAATGGTTAGACTTCAGGCTCAATTTAATATTTATAACTGGGTACTTCTTTAAAAGTACTGCTATATATATATTCAGGATTAGTGAAAATAAACAATTTAAAACATTATAAGTAGGGGTAAAAAATAGAGTAAAGCTTTATTTGCATGTAAAATGGTATTCTTGTAGTATACAAGATTTCCCTTTGTATGAAGATATCGAAGTGAATGTATTGCGACATACTTTGCTTTACTAGTCCTGGTTTATCTGCTGAGACGGTATTTATAGTAGGTATTTTCTAACTTAATTAATTGCCGCTGATGTCCTCATTATTCTGTTTTCACAGTCCTTCTGAGGAGCCATAAACAAAAGGTTAAGTGGTGTATCAGGTTAATTTACCGGCGGCCGCCGCTCCGGTGTGCGCTGAGCACAAAGGGCCGTGAGCCGGAGGGGCTCGGCGTGGGACGAGACGCTCAAACGAACGAGCCCGTCCGCGACCCGCCCGGCACGGCGGGGGCACGGGGCCGGTGTTCAGTCCCACGGATACCGCACAGAGCTGATCAATCCCCCAGCCCGCCCCGCCGGGGGGTGAACAGCCCGGGGAGAGCGACAGCGCTGGCTCCGGGCTCTCGGAGCCCGGCAGAGCCGACGTACGGCCCCTCAGTCCCCGGGTGCCGGGACGGCTCGGACGCTGAGGGACCTGTTGAGCAGCCGATGCTCGGCAGGTCCCTCGCCCTCCCCCCGCACGGGGGGGCCGGGAGACCGGCGGGAGCACCGCCGAGCTCCGGGGACACGGGAACGCCCGGGCACACACCGCACTGCCCCCGGGCACCCAGAGCCAGAGGGCTGGCGGTGCCGCTAAGCGCTGTAGGAATTAGAGCCAACCGATCCGCGTCCGTGAACTACGTACGGAAGAGGCGCAAAATTGCAAAGGACGGCTCCCCGGAGGGCAATGTTATAGGCACAGCCTCTGCGAGCGCGGTGGCAACGTTTATCCTAATTAAAAGAAATGATTCCTGTGTCTTTCAGACAGGTAGCATCGCAAGACCTTTATTTCCGTTCTCTCCCTCCTGCCCTGGGGGATGCCGACAGACCCGGGCCGTGCCTGGGCTCTCCAGTCGCCCGGTGTGTCTCCCCGCCACGATCCATCAGCCGGGGCCTCCCCTGGCGCTGGCCCACCAAGGGCCGAGCTCTGCGGCCGCCGTGCTCACTCTGTCACCAGCTCTCCCGGGCGGGGGGAAGCCTCGCTTCCCGCCGGGGGCTGAGCGTGTCAAACCCAGCGCCCCTTGCCATGCCTGCTTTCCTCCCACTCACCTCACCCTTTCCCCACGCAGTACTACCCTCTCTTGAGCTCACCCGCCGTCTCCAGCTCCCCTTCCTTCCCGGGGAGTTTCCCATTCCCGGGAACGCCGGGCCGCGGGCCGGGCCATGCTCACCCCTGCGGGGGCAGCGCTGCCTGCGTGCCCGCCCCCCGCTCTCGTCCCGGCAGAACTGCGGGCAGCGCTCCATGTCCCAGGCGGGCTGGGAGCGGCGCCGAACAGGTGCTGCTGTGCCCGCGGGGCGGCCCGGACGGCGGGCTGGGAGAGGCACCTGCGGCGCGGCTCTCGGGGAGGAGAGAGCGTCGAGTCCGCATTCTGCTCTGCGCGGAACCCCCGGCCCCTCGGTGGTCCTCGGGCACCCGAGGCGGAGCGGGGCGGCGCTGCCCGCAAGGTCCCCGCCGGCTGCGGAAAGACGAACGCCGGTCCCCTCCGGCTCCCTCGGGGCTCACCCCTCCTCGCAACCGCGCCGCCTCCAGCGGCCGCCCGGCTCCCCCTCCCCGCCCGCTTCCCGCCCTTCCCGCGCCGCTCCGCCCGCTCCCCGCACAGCGCCCGCTCCCTCGGGGAGCCCGGCTCTCCCCGGGCGCCTGCTGCCCTCATGTCCCCGGCTGCCCCCGGCGAGGCACCCACCTGGTTGTTCTTGCAGAGGTCGGCCCACATGCTGGTGCCGTCGCCACCCCGCATGAGCACATGGTACGTGAAGAAGTAGATGCCGGGGATGGAGCAGGTGAACTTGCCGGTGGTGGGGTCGTAGTGGTTGCCCAGGTTGGTGACCACGTCGTCGAACTTGAGCACCTCGTAGCCCTCGTGCTGCCGCTTGAGGCCGGCGTAGAAGGCGATCTTGGGGACGGTGCTGTAGGTGGCGGCACTGATGGCCCCGGCCGCGTTCAGCCCCGGCGCCCCGGGGGGGCCCGGCAGGCCCTGCCGCCCCGGCTCGCCCTTCTCACCCGGCGGCCCCACCGGGCCGGGCGGCCCCGGCTCCCCCGGCGGGCCGCGCGGCCCCGCTTTGCCCGGCCGGCCGGCCTCCCCTTTGGGCCCCTGGATGAAGGTGGGCAGGGACTGCATGAGCCCGCGGTCGGGCGTGGCCGCCGTGCTGGGCGCCTTGGTGCCGCCGTAAGGGTCGCAGACCATGCGGCAGGTGCCCAGCATCTCGTAGTGCGCCGAGGTGCCGGCCGAGCTGACCAGCACCGGGATGAGGATGACCAGCAGCAGCACCATCACCACCCCCAGCGCGCCGGCCGCGATCAGCCGCCGCCTGCTGCCCACCAGCCGGCTCAGCGCAGGGCGATCCTCTTGTCTGCTTTTGGACAAAATCTTGATGGTTGGCGGGGTTCCTCCTCAGAGCCGAAAAAACGCCGAGCCCGTGCGAGCTCGGCTCCCCTGGGGCTCGGCCGCCCTCCCACGGGCCGGCGGTGGCGCGGGGCTCCCGCGGGTCGCGGCGCTTCGCTGCGGCCGCTGCAGCCACCGGGCGGGCAAGGGAGCGGAGAGGGAGAGGAGGGAGAGCTGCCGCCGCGCCTCGGCCGCCCGCACTTTTATGCTCCCGCTGGCGATCGACTTTTTTTTTTTGCAGGCTGTGCCAGTCCGAGTCAACTTTCCCTGGAACTTGCCTTTCCTCTCGCGATCGCCTCGCTCGCCTGCTCGCTCTCACTCTCTCTCTCTTTTTTTCTTCGCAGAGACGACTGTCCTCAGCGGGGACGCGCCTCCCGGCCGCCCCGGTGCCCGCCGCCCAGTGTCCGCGCCGCCGCGCCGAAGCCGGAGCCGGAGCCGAAGGGAGAGCGGGATCCTGCCCGGGTGCCACCTGCCAGGAGAGGAGGAGGCTGACGAGCGCGCTGGAGCAATTTATAGGCACCCAAAAGCGCAGGGGAAAGGGGAGCTGCTTTGGCATCTCATTCCAGCATCTGCTCTGCTCTTCCCACTCGCAGAGAGTTTGGCATTACTCTGTCAGTGTGGGAAATACATATTTTTTTTCTTATCTCCCTCCCCCACCCCTCCCGCAAATGGATGAACAGCGAAATCGTGAGCCTCACTCACTAGCTGCATCTTGCGATGACAGCTCTTCCTGGAGCAAACCAAAGGGAAGAGATGTGCTTAACAGCCTCCGGATACCCTTCAGGTCACCAATCGAGAATTAAAAGGTCAATCCACCTCCTGCTTAACGCTTCCTTGAGGCCACCCTACCATGTTGGTGTTTTATGGGAAATACCTCTTTAAATGCAGAGATGCTTTACCCATTGTTCAAGTAGAAGTTATTTGAAAATATATCTCCCACAATAATAGAGATTAACATCTCTGGCAATTTCGGATCTCTCTCTTCCCCCTCACCCCGATTACAACCATAAAGACAGAGAAAGAAATAGTTCTTCCTGTGAATTAAAATTGACATACTCATCACTGGCAGCAGTGTTTCCTGGTGTTAAAGCCAGCCACTGCTTTGCTTGCAAACTGACACCTAGGGAAAGTGTTCCCTTTTGTTTAGAAGCCAGAGAAAAGTGCGGGGCATATGCAAATCAACAGATGCCTGGACCTGAGGAAGAGATCTCTTTGGCTTAACTTGGGGGCAGCAAAGCATTTTGTTAAATCTTGGGGTTTTCTCTTTTCTTTTCTTTGTGTGTGTGTGTGTGTCTTCATGAAAGTCTTCTCCTCCCCCAAGGTCTGGTGAGCACCTCTGTGACTGAGTGGGAAGGTGAATGTGCAATATTAGTGGCATTGCTGCTGAGAAAATATTAAGGAACTTGTCCTGCTTACAGACATACAAGGTACACAAAGAGCTGTTTAAATAAACAAACAGAATTGATTCCTAAATCATAGTTCTGTATTCAGGAGCAATGGACGTCAATCAAATGTGGGTGACATTTGCCTGTCAATACAGGGATGATGGCTGGAAAGAGTGTGACTTATTACAGCAAGGCAAGAATCAGAAATGAGCAACAGCAGCAAATAGGACAAGAACCAAATAATGGCATCTCCAGCGATGATCAGAGGGCTGTGATCTTGTCTTGGATTTTATTAACACGAATCCCCTCTCCCCTCACCCGTTCTCTTTTATTTCTTTTCTATTCCACAACATAAGAAGGTCAAACAAGCAGGCAGTGGGAAACAAAGATTCATTGATTCTTCCTTTTAAGCAGAAATGTCAGCAGCTCCTTTTGCTCTTTCCTGAGAGACTCAAAGGCAGTGAGTGTGTCCATGCTGCTTAGAGATGGGCCAGTCCAGCTCCTTATCTCCCCAGAAAACTCCTGACAAAGCTTCCATTCATGCACTTGTAAATATCCCTCCCTCCTTTTTTTATTATTTTTTTAAAATAATTTTTTTCTTTTTTCTTTCCTTTAATGCTCTGTCTTAAAAAAATTCTTTATCTGGTACTGACACAAACTAGCCAGTTCCCTCAGCTAAGAGCTTCCCCTCAAGACCCAGGAAGCATTGAACATACTTGGAGGATTCTGTTCATATCACTCTCTTTACCCCATAGGAAAGGGTTTTCAGCATTGCTCTTTTTTCTGGGTGGGAAAAAAGAAAAGTTGGGCCAGGAGTGACTGTACTGTCTCAGCCTATAGCTTGGCCCTTGGGGTTTTGTATTTAGTCATCCCTAACCCAGGTGGTTTTTGCGACATCAGGATGTGCATAAAACTCCATTTCAATGGCTGTGTTACACATTGGGCAAAGGGCAGACCTCTCATCCTCAAATAGACACAAACCTATCATGATCTGTCAAATCATAGTGATGCTGGATGGCCTACTTATCATTACTCTAGCTATGATAAGCCTCATTTTTAAAGTGAGGTCCTACTATACCAACCACGTTTTCCTTCTTAATAGGCAGTATTATCCTCATGCATATTGCCAGGGATGCTCATTCACTCTGAACTGTTGTGGACTTTCTCACAGAGAAGACAGTCACAAAAATCACAGCCAGAGTAAGCAGAATAGAGAGAACAGGGCAAGTAATGATGCTGGGTTGTCAGTGGAGCTTGTATGTTAGCTGGGAATATAACCTGAGACCTTGGATTTAGTTACCAGATTATCCTTAGTTCCCAAGGAAAAATTGTATTTTCCAAGAAAACTGAGAATAGGAAACCAAAGGCCTCAGAAGTTATGCACTGGAGGTCTCAGTAGTCTGGTGCAAAGTAAAAAGAAATGTAGAAACCTCTTTTTACCAGAGGACACTGGTTTTCCTGAAGTGGTGTGTCAAAACATTGATTTGCTGTAATTAAGGCTTAGGTAGCACTTGTGTTATAATCTCTCCATGCTGAAGGCTAACAGTCCAGATTGACAGTCCGTTCTTAATATAACCATTATATTTGCATGAGCTGCTGCCAGTTTTAATGTGTTAAATTTATTTGTATTTTCTAAGCCCTCTTGCAGGCTTGCTCCAGCCTTTCAGCATGTTTGCTTCCCTTCTAGTTCTCTGGGCTCTTAAGCATTCAGACATGCAGTTGGTGTTTGAGCTGTGTCCCCTGTAGCTTTTGCCATTTGGAACAACCTTCTCACAGCTCTTACTGACTAATTAGTTAACATTCATACAGACTGAAAGATGTACAGCATAACATGTATGTCCATTTTACCTGTGTGCCATTGCCTCAGCTCTAACTTCAGGGAAAACTGAAGAAAACCGCCTAAGAACCTGTTCCCACTGGCACACAGGAACACGTTCTGCAGTCGCCAAGCACGAAATGTCTCCTTCCTTCTGCAGCGCTAAATTCAAAGGATTAGCCCAGGGAAAAAATACTCTATAAGGAAGGGCAACCTTCTACCAACTACAGTAAGCAGGAGTGACGTGGAAAAAGGCATATGCCTACCAAAGGAGCGTTTGAATGCTGTGCCAGGTTCATACTGCTTCTGCTCACTCCTATCTGCCTCTGTTTTGCTCTTACTTACATTTTCACTCCTTTTTATTGTTATTTTAGAGAAGCATTTTGAATTTCAGTCTGTTCGAAAATTAAGGCTTTGCTACACTGGACTGTTATAAACACTGGTTTAATTATGCATGTAAAGGTTAGCATTTTAACCTGGATAACAGTGGTATGGTCAAGGAAAAACATACACTCACTCCAACAGGTAAGTGGGTTCAATACTACAAAATAAATCATAGAGGGAAAAATATTCATATCAGTATCGGTGTCTCAAAGGTACCACGGTGACATGGCAGTAACATACTGGTGTTCTAAACCATTCTTTGTATCCTATTTCAGTTCTGTTCACCTACTTTGGTAAAATCTCAGTGGTGGCACATGTGTCAGTAGGTCCTGAAAAGCCACATCCTGCACCAGTTTCGGTAGATGCTCATACAGGCAGTGTTAACTAAACTCGCACAAAACCTGTTTTGGTCAGCATGACTGAAGACCATCTTTGTTTATAGTGATGCAAGATGCTGTATTCTTAAATAAAATCAGGGTTTTCATGATCATGGAAGGAAAAGCAGCTTTTGCACGTAAGAGAAAAAAATTGCTTTGCTGATTTTTTGGAAGCTTTTACCTGTCCTTTGGAACATAGGAACTCCTTCTGCAGGGTATTCTCTGCTACTCAAGGATTTAAGCCATCTTTGTGTGTGTGATTTGAAATATTCTAGATTATCACAATTAATAAAGCTCTTTGAAAATCAGCTTCTGAATGCAAAGGCAAACACAAAAATGATGCAAAGAAATTGTGTCCAGCCTTAAAAGGGTTACATCCACTTTTCAAATCCAAATGAGGGGGGAATGCAGGGAGGGCTGTCACAAAAGTGACAGGGCTCAACAAGGAGAATTTGCGAATAAATTTTCGACATATCTCTTCCTTTTTAGTTTTTAATCTGAAAAGATCAGTCAAACGTGACTAGTTACTGGGGGAGGGGGGACAGAATTAAAATGGGAAGATTGGAACCCAAGTCATGCATATCATGTTTTGACTGGTGAATTACCACAGATATAAAAACGTAACTGTGTGTGTAAAAATAAGTCTTAAACACATAGGGAGCTAAAGATTACACATTCAGCTGACAAAGTTTAAGAATATAAAATAATCATGTATGACACTTGGTAATTGCCAACATAAATAGCAGTAATTTACCATAAAAGATGCTCATAATTGCAAGTGCCCCTGTTTATTCCGAAGATTAAAACACTAGTTGTAAACATAAAAGATTGTTCTTTCAGGTTTCTTCTTTTCCATACATCTGCAAGCCTGCTGCTCTCTGTCTTCTCTCTATTCCATCGCTCCAGAGCCGTGATCAATGGTGGCAAATACAAAGCTGTGGTGCATGGGAAAGTGTACAGTCAACCTTGGCAGTACTTTTGATCATGATGATAGGACTTCTCCAACCCCAGTGGTGCCTGACCAGTTGATTGCTCTTGCACTGGTGATGGCATGGAAGTGCTAGAGCTGTACCTGGGCTCAGTTTCATGCTCTCTGGATAAAGCTGCTCTCACTGAGATCTTTTTCTGATCGGTCTCCCCTTCCAAGTGGCAGGTTCACACTTTCCTTTGCAGGAGGAACTGGGATTTGGAGAGTTTCTGGATAGGTTTCTAAGAGCCATGGTGCTATGGAGGTGTAATTGAGCAATGCTTGCACCAACCAGTAAATTCCTCCTCCATAAATAGCCTCAATTTGCCAATAAGTGCACTGCATTTCAGGAACTGGGTTTCCAACAATAAGGGTTTTTTACACAGCACTCCCACTCAGCTTTCTTCACAGAAGCCTGAGCATCCAGTGCCCCCAGACACCATGAGAGTATCTGCTTGCAGCAGGGTCCAGTTAACAGTCTAGTTCAGCTGAAAACACCTTTTTTTCTCTACCCCACCTTTCCCTTCCTGTAGGATAGGCATTTTAACTCATTACCTTCTTTTAACATAGAAGTCTTGGCTTCTGCAGCTGCCTATGTAACCACAGCAGTGGTGGCAACGTTTTCCATGTAGTCTTTCTGCTTGATCCCCCCTGCTTTTAACTCCTTTCTGATCAAAATCTATAGCAGATAACCTGTCATAAGCAGGCACATAGAGGAACACAGACTGGTCATTAATAAAAGTCCAAAATATAGAGATATTCCTAACTGCTATTAAATCAAGGAGTATTGCTAATGGTGAAGGCTACAATGTCGGCATTCTTATGAAGATGTAAATAGTAAATACAAAAGGGTGGAAGATAAATGCCTCTAACATGGGAGTAAGATTAAACAACCACTTTGTCCCTGCTTAAAACTATACCAATAAGCAAAGGCATTTATCATGTTGCACTTCTATTAAAAATTATGTCAGTAGTTAGAGTCAATCAGGTAGAGATTTCAAGATGATTTGCCCATGAGAATGATTTTGGTTACCTTTGAAATGGTTATTAGACTGCCAATGCTATTAAAGAGAGATGTTAGGGGCAAAAAGGAAGAGCAGAGACAAGCTTTTCTAAACTGTCGTCTGCGATTTACCCTTCCTCCTCCAAACCTGAAAGACTCCCTTTCCGTTGTTCTACCAACCCAGCAATCTTCTGGTATTTCATACTGGAGTCCTTTATATTCATCAGGAAGTTGATGGATGGGCAATAAGAATGGATAGCTGGGAGTGGAAAACTCAAAATTAAAATCCCTGGAGTGGCAAGATGCCCAAGAGATTTATTCTTTCTTCTGTCATCCCCCAACTGAATTTCTTTTTGTGCCTGATTATTGATTTCTGGAGTAGTTAATGGTGTAATTTACTTTGCAAGTTGCAATAACTTCTGATCATTAATTTTTCTTCCTATCTGTTCATTAGTTAAAGCAGGAGACCCTTTGATCCCAAACAATCTTCCCTACAACAAGATGGCATACAGTGGACTTTGGTGTGATTCTGCAAGATGCTGAGCTTTTGATTATTATGGTAAGCAGCTGTGCTCAGAATTTTGTGAAAGTTGACCTTGTATTGTTAAAAAAGGCATGTTGCAATATTATTCTGCAGGTCTGATCCGTCACAAATTAGGCATGACTTCATTGAAGTAAGTTGTAAAATGAGATGTTAACTAATGCATCTGAGATCAGAATTGGGTTTGCTATTTGCATTACATTCTTGGTATCCAGTTTCAGTTCTGTTCACCCAGTTTACTAAAATCAGTTTGCTGCAATAGAGTTTCAAATCACAGGGAGATACGAGTGCTCTCCTCCCCAAAGGGACTGATTATAGCTCCACAATGAGGGAGGGACCGGGACATTTCGTCGCGGCATTGTAGAGATACAGTCAAGCAGAGGAACCATTGTGTAGGTTTCCCAGCATAATGTATTGCCAGTGCCATTATTAATAGGCTATCCTGTACTGGATGTAACTTTGGGTTTGGTATTTGTTATTTTAACTTACATGTATGCATTTAGCAATAATAATAAGTAAAGGATGCAGATCGGAGAGAAAAAACTGAAGTATTTACCACCTCCTGAGATATGCATGTCTTTATGCAATGCATACATTTTCAGCTAGACTGCTTATATTCTTTCTATGCAGCATTAAAACTCTAGTATGCATGATTACTGCACAAATCCAAACTGCATCAAGTGGGAAACGGAATGCGGCTGGCTAGAGAGCATGTCTACCACTTAGGGACTCAGATTTTCTAATCTCCAGGAAGATAAAATCTCGGATAGAATATTCCTTTCATGTATTGAGACACATATGTTTTCAATATGGAGAGACACACATATGCCCATGCACATGTGTACATACAAATGTAAAATAGAAACCTGTATGCTTTTCAGAAATCAGAACACTAAAAGCTGTGACTGTCACAATTCAGCAACCTGGTATTTTGTGTTTTATTGTTTAAATGTAACCCAAAAGAGCAGGATATCCCAATATCCCATGAAAATAATCTCAATCACTGACATGCATATGGAGTTACTCTACTGAGTTAATTGATAGAGTGTCAAATGCAGTTTGCACTTGACACGAGCGACTCTGTTGGCCTGGAAGGAGCCCTCACTCCTGTGCTGCTACACAGTGAAGCTCATTGAACTTACATTACAGTTTCACTGCTGTGAGAATGGAATTTAGCCTGGAATCTTCTGTTTAATTAACTTTAAATCACTAATGACAGTCTTTAAATATCTAAAAGAGGAAAGAATCTTTTATGGATTTTAATGCCTGAGAGAGAAAATGAAGCGGAAAGAATTTGCACTGAGCATCCTGATAAATGCCGCTTCTCCCTGCAATGCTGAAAGGAACCAGAAGGAGATATCCGAGGAGAGGGCAGTGCCTATGAGCAGGTTAGACCGTCTAACTGGGAGACTGTTGTGAACCTGGGTTAAAAAGGGAATGTAATTTCTGGAAAGCAGCATTTCTAGCCATAATGTTGCAGTGATAATATGTTGAGAAAAACTTACTTAGGCATTATTTTGAGAACTAATTTTGAACCAGACATAACACAGCACAGAGAATATGTCTGCAGGAGGAATCTCTGTACTTTGGCACAGGGAGCAGTGCTGCAGCAAAGGTGAATGACAGTAACTTCCAGGCAGCTTTGAGAAAATTCTTCAGACGACTTGTCTGGTAAGTGCTCCTCCAACATTTGTCTCCAATCAGGTAGGGATATTAATGGCTTAAAGCTAAAACCAAATTTGTACTGCCAAGTTTGTCACTCAGGTTCCTTTATTCAGGAAGTACGGCAAGCAGAAAGCAATATGCTGTTGTGCTGCCAAGCATGGTCACTGTGGGATCCAGCCACCAGCCAGACCAAGTCTAAAGACTTTGAGTTAGAGCCTCCTCTTTACATCCCAGATTAATTTTTTTTTTTGCTGGGCAGGCATTTATTTGGCATTTAACATGTATCTTTTATTAGGTTTCCATTCTTAATTATGTCCTTATCACACCTCCTCACTCAATCTACTACAGCTTTCCTCATTTTGAAGTGCTAATAAATAGTTAGTCTGAAGTCAGCAAGTAGGTATCTCAGGGACAGCATCACATCCGGGTTTCCCTTCCTCTTGCTGTACTCACTGGGCAGGTAAAAATACCTTTTTTTTTTTTTAATTATTTTCCAGTGAAAATAAACTGCCTCACCTCTATGACTTCAGCGTGTCGTATTTGTTGTATGACTATTCATGTTAGAATAGCATGACTAGTCATGTTAGACTAGACTCTTTCATCTGCCCGACTTTCTTTATCCACCCAACTTCAGATGAGTGGTGCAAAGGATAGACTGAGCTGCCCTTGCTGTTTCCTTTGCAGGGTTCTTTTTCACTTGTATAAGCATGAGGTCTCAGTGCAGAGGATGCTGCTGCCAGAGGATTACGAGGGGACAGCAAATGCAAAACCGCCCCCAGCACTCCAGTCACCTGGAAGATTCGTTTGTCTTCACTCTGGATGATCACACCTTCTGTGTTCCTGTTTATACAGGTGTTTGTGCCAGGTTTCCAGTCTCCTGTGAGAACATTTTGAATATCTGTGGGCCCATAAACACTATCCTGCAGTCAGGTCTTTATTCCCTACAAATGCATTCTCCTTGCTCTCTTTGTCTTCATTTGTATGACAATGTAAATTAATTACTTTCTAATTGCTCCAAGTCAGATAGGCTATAGAACAGTGAAAAATACAGACAAAAGCTGGTGTTTGACACCCCGCTGACAAATCTGACACTTGGCCCCACAGCCATTCCCACTGGACACCTGCTCAAGGCAGAGGGTGCAGCATTTCCTCATCCCCAGTGCCAGCAGATAGCAATAGGGAAAGAAGTATAAGTGTCATGCCAAGGACACTCACCATCAGGTGATAACAATTTTCAGGTAAGGTAGACGCTGCAGGGGAGGTACTTGACTCTGCAACAAAGCATGTGTTTGCCTAGCTCCACATGAGAACTCTGGAAAGTGGAATAGAGAGCAAAAGTCTGTGGCTGATCTTGCTGAATGGGACAGATGGAAACCCTTGCCAAAAATAGCTTTGCTAGAAGTAGAACACATGGTAAATTGCATTAATTTTAATAATTACTTTTTATGCTTTGATAAAAACTGGCAAGGACCTAAAGGATCCTCTACCCAAGATAATTAGCATAGTTCTCCTTCACTGCTCCCCTTTAAAGAGAATGCTGTTTTGAGGCTCTCATGGCTCACAAAATTGAGAAGGATGAGGCTGCCCACTTGTGCCAGGAAAGCAGAGTGCTCAGCTGGATGTAGGACCCACAGAAAAAGCAGCTTAGCCGCCAGTTCCTCAAGTAGCAAGGCCACTAAAGCAGTGCTGAGTTTGGTCTACAAGGGGCATGCTTGTCTGCAGCCTGGCAGCATCCAGTGTCTGTCTGGCCAAAGGATCAGCAGTTACACTCTGAAGGTGAGCAGATCCACAGTCTTTAAAAAAATTTCAGCAACAGCCTTTTTCCAAAAGGAAAATGTATTTTAAGAAATTTTTTTTCTGGAGATACACAATTTCCTAGCTGCTCTAGGAGAAAGGGAACAGGCAGTTCCTTTGCCTGCTGCAAAGGGGATTTTGGCCTACCATAGTGCCAGGTAGAACTGTCCCTTTGCTACATGAAAAGGGATAATGGGAAGAGCTGGGCTGAATTACACTGTAGCTGGTAAAACATGCAGTGCATTACTGCTTCTTACCCCAACCTCTGGTCAGGCTTTAAGGATGCTTGGCTTGGAAAGAAATCCTTATATCAAAGCAAACTCCTCCAGGAATGGTGCTGGATGTAGTGTCAGACAGCACCAGCACCCTGTTTACACTAGCCATCTCACTGCCTACCTAAATTGGTTTAGTCTTCTGCCCAGCTGCAGCTAACCCAAAACACAGAACTCCGGCTGCTGGCAGTGTCCAGGCCAGTAACACAAAATTGATTTCTAATTGATGTAGTTAATTCAGGGCATCTGTTGTTCAAACAGCTCTGGAATAATGTTTAATTACCCAAGGGATTTTGGAGCCAACAATGCCTACATTTCTTTTCAGTTCACAGGAATATACAATGCACTTCCTACTCAGGTGCTATACATTTTTTATATGAATGAAATGTATTCTCTTTTACAGCTAAAAAGTGTGCCTGTCAGTCCAGATCAGAGTCAGTCGGCGATACAGTCACAAACCTGTCAGAGTCAGGTAGGAGGGAGGACAATGTCTAGAAGTGGTATTTGTTTCTGTTAGATTAAGGAAGCTCACTGGAACTGCAATTTTGTCTCCCCAAAAGCACTGTGTGACTGCAACTGAATGAGGGTGATTTTCTTCTTCCTGCCAGGGCCAAGCTCAGGCAAACAGACAGGATTTGTACCACATAAGAGCAGCCTGGGAAGCTCTGAGTGTGTGATAGAAATGCATAAATATAGAAATATAAATGTGTCTGCACGCAACTAATGCCCCAAAAGGACACCTGAGCTAAATGTTGGTTGGTTTGGGAGCGTGATTTGGATACACTAACTGCTGATTGTTGAAAGTCCTTGGGCAGACAGACTGAAAAAAAATCCCTCTAATTCAGGTCTTCTCCAGCGACAGGGACTATAGAAGTGATCGAACTCTTCCCTGTACAAGGGGCCTGCTCCCTCAAGTGGGGCATGGTTTGGCATTTTCCTTCCCAAGCCAGAACTGAAGCACATCAACAGAAGCTCAGCAGGGCCAGAGGGATGCTCTGCTCCTCCAGGGAGGAGGCAGCTGCTGGCTGGCAGGTCTGTGCTGCAGCATTCAGAGCAGGATTGGCACTAGAAGCAAGAGCCACCGCACCCTGAAATGCCTCCCTACCTTCTCATACCTTTCCCTGGCACCCCAAGGATCTGGTCCTTGAGCATGTGTGTGCAGATAATGCTACTGATGCCATTTGTATCTGGTAATTTTTTAAAGCTCAGTGATTTAGATTGACAAATGTATTCTGATTTCCTAATATGTTTTTCTTCACATCTTTGCTGTGTTTTTCCATAAGAATTATTCTGTTCAGCAGCTCGGGAAAAACAATCAACAGCTAGAAGGTATATTCCACTTCAGAATTTTGCACAGAATTAGAATGTCTCTTTTTTTTTTCTTCCCTCTGAAAAATGTATTTGTCTCTGTGTTTCTCCCACTGGCACTATCTTGTAGCTCTGTGTTTGACCTGATATTCCATCATCCCTCCTGTTTTTGTTGATGTGTTTCTGTGAGGAGTACCAGGTTGGTCTGCCATGCTGATGTTACTTTTGCTCCCACTTTTTTCTTACAGCTGCACTGTCGTTTAAAGCCTCTTCACAGAGCATCTCGAAGGCTTCTGATGTTTGTAACGTTGCAAGTGCTCAGTGAAGCCCTCTTCAAACACAGCCATTGACTGAGAAACACCATGAGAAGAGCAAAGAACTGGGGAGAAGTGGACATACTTGAGCAAACACTGCAAAAGGGATGAGATATTTTGGAGCTGCTAGGTTGAAACATTTGACTACATCACAGGCAGCAGATGAGGACAAATTTTTGACTTTTCTGCAAACCTGTGGGTTTTGACTGCAACTGAAGATGAATGTCTCAGTGTATAAGGAGATGAGAAATCTTAGAAACACCAACAGAATACCAAAAATGCTGCAAGGAAATGAAGCTGATTCAGTTCTTGCCTTATTTAGTAATCAAAGAAGTTGCTTTTGGTAGCTTGCTTGTGAAAAAGTCTTTGTCATTTTGTTCCAGAAATTAGCAACTTTATTTGAAATCAGGATGCCAAAACCATGCAGGGAATGAGACAACTGTAAAAACTGTATTTTAGGACTGATTAGGGGTGCCCAAGCCCCTAGCTTTGGCAAGGTTCGATCAGAGCCACCAGCCTGTGCCCGTAGGTCCTATAAATAGAGAAATCCAGCTAGGCACTGGTGGGATTTCTGAAGAGTGCCCAAGAAAGTGCTATTACATCCATAGTGGTTGAGTTGAACAGGTTTGTGTCATGGCAGGCAAGTCATCCTGCAGAGGATAATTACAAGGATTATATAGTGGTATAGAAGGAGTCTGCATGATGAGTGAGCTTTTGGAAATATCTGGGAGCTATTTCCAGCATGACAGATACAAAGTTATTTGAGCTTGCTAGACAGAAAATTCCTTTTTTAATCCATCATATGAATAGGCTAGGTTGTTTCTAGAGATGGTGCCTAGATTTCTGTTTAGAGACAAGTTTCTGGACTCTACAGAGGGGCAGATTTTCCCTGTAAGCTCAGGATGGATGTAGACTTTCTGTTTAGGATGAGAGATCCTGAAGCAGAGCACTGCTCCATGCTGAATCCCATTCAAAGATTCACAGTCATCCAAGTCCTGTGGCCAGCTCCAAAGGGGAAGAGGGGGAAGAAAAGACACCAAGACCTGCCTGGCAGAAGGCTCTCTGCTCACTGATAGGGTTTGGCTGCAGAAGGAAAACCTGCTCACTACCAGTATAAAAATGTTATTAGGAATTTCTTCTGGACTTCAGTGCTGGCATTCCAGTGCCCAACAGGCATGAGAGAACAAAGATTCTCCATATGCTATACATCATAATGCATAATGTGTTTGTCCATTTTCCCCAAAAATTCTTTAGAAAGGCCAGAGAGAATTAAAAAAATCCAGATCTAGACCTTCCTTGTCTCAAATGTTCTAATCGTGCTGCTCTGACCTCTGTTCCTTGGTTTAGGTGCTAATCTCTGCTCTGCAGAATTATTCACCTTCTTTCTGAGCTGCACACACCCACCACAGGCCACCTGGTTTACTGTGTGCACCCCAATGGTAACCCCAGAAATGCAGTGGCAGGTCACATCCAAGTTTGCTTACAACTTGTTCACATTTTCTATAGCCCACCTGCATGCTCAGAAGGGGAAGTCACTTCCCAGGCTGCCTGAAAGGGAATTGTGACTGATAGAAAGAAGAATACAGGACACATACCAGAACACCATATTTCAGTATTTTGTACTACTCAGAAGCAGTTTAGTATACTTTGTCCAGGAAGAAAGTTCACAAGAACTCCACCAGGTTTTTGGAATCATGAGAGACATGTTCTGTGAGATAAAGGCAGAGGATTCCCACTGTTGTGCCATTAGCCCTTTCCAGATACCCATGTGAGAGGCCTGGCTTTCAGAAATGTGGCAATACTTCTTTTTGCCACAGACCCCGTGTATGGAGAACTTTTCATTTTGAGGAGCCTTCAGCCCCAAGTCCTCGCAGAGGGAGCAGCAGGCAGGGCACTGCTGGTGCAGCCTGAGCAGGGCACCCACTTCCTGTCCTGGCCCTGAAACTTTATTTCTCTTCATAACATCTTGTAACTCCCATCAGGTGCTTCCACCTTCATCCACTCCTTTAAGAAGCTTGAGCCTTTGCCTGGGTTTACTACACCCATTTTTTTGGGGATGGTAGCACCTGACTCCCAAGCCAGGGTGAATACCAGCCACTGCTTCAGGTCTCTCAGCAATGTGATGAGTTCAGCCTTGAAGGCAGCTGAGCCTCCTCTGCTGGCTGGCTGTGCTGAAATGGAAAATATTGACTGCACGAGGCTTATGCCAAACACAACCTGAGCATTTCCTACTCAACCACATTAGAATTTTTTGATCATTCATGCTACAGGTTACAAATATACCTTCCATCCTCCTGGAACAGCCACCAGACAACTTGTGAGGTGAGAAGGAGGAAGGTAGGAAGTCCTGTCAGATAAAAAAAAATAAGGCATGAAGCAGAGCAAATGTGCTTTGGGCTTCATCAGCAGTTTTGCTCCCAAAATAGTCCTGAAGGCTCATATCTGGACAATGGTCTTGCATGGTGCCATCAGTCACCCTTCACCCCAAATTCCAGGTAACCCTGAGCTCCTGCACCAGCTGCTGATGCCTGCCTCTGTCTCTTGTAGTGTCACGTCATGTTCCAGCAAACAGAGGAAACTGCAAGTCCTTAGAGACAGAAGCTGTGATCTCTGTGAAAGCGTTTAGAATTTGGGCCAAATTTTATTTTCCTTCCTGGTAGGAAATGTCTGCCAAGGCACCTGTAACCAGGAGAAGAGGTCTGAGTGACAAAGGACATTAATTTTCTTCTTTTATAGGGTGTATAAAAGGAAAATGACACTAAGTAAAGACAAGGTAGGAAAACGGCTTATTTGAGATGTATAATAGATGTGCTATCTTCTTAATAATCCCACAGGACCTGATTATCTCAGTTTACAACCAGTTTAAGGCAAAATGCGAAAAAAAAATAACGAGGCTACAGTCATAACCATCACTTTAGAGGGGGATTATTCATATTATATTATAGGAAGTGGTGAATTACTAAAAGCCATCTCTATGTCTGCATTGCTGCAATTACTCCCAATTACTGTCACTCACTCTTGTAAGGGATTTCTCGCCACTGTGTTTGCAGGGGCAGCCTCCTTCTGCGGGGACACACCAAACCTGGCCAGCCACACCAGCTGGGCAGTGCTTCCCATGTGCCACTGTCCCCCAGCTCACTGCTGCTGTCCTGAGGATGATGGTTGTTGGAGCAGGGCTTAGCCAGGCTGCTGGACAGGTTTTGCACAGGTGGGGATATTCTCTCACCGCTATCACCCATGCATCCAGCCTCTCCTTTGTTTGCCTTCAGCCTAATTACAGGTCTGGCCTTGCACAGGGTTGGCCCACACCAGGGACCCAGTCGAGGGTAGGGAAGCAGCTGCTGCACTGACCCTCAGCCCCAGGAGAGCAGCAGGTGGCACCGAAGCCTCCATTATGCTGCTTGCACTTAATCCTGGCAGGGGTGAATCGTTCATCCCAAGAAAGCCTCCACATTTGTGAGAAGGGACCAGCTCTGGAGCAGCTCCCCAGCTTGGGCTGAGCTCCTCTGGTGCCATCTGATAATCACCTCCTTTGTCACAGCTTTTTCCTCCCCTCCCCTGTTGTTGGTTAGAGGAACTCCCATTAACCTGGCTGATTTCAAGACCATCAAAAAATTGGCTTGAGACTCATTCAGGTATTCACCCTGTTATACCTCTTCCAGTGTCCAAAACCGGTGGGAAGGGGGAAAGGAGCAGTTTATGTCTGAGACCAGCTTTCCTCTGTGATTGTTATAACTTGCCTCCCTGAAGACTCGAGCTCACAGTGATGTGAAGGCTTTTATATACTGCAATACACAAGTGGCTCTTGCCACCAAGTCCTTCTGCCCACTGAGCCAAGCCCAGGTGACCATGCCCTGGAGATGGCAGCAGCCCTGGCTGGTGTCAGGCCTTTGCAGCTCTCTCACCGTGGCAGAGGATTCGTCTGCTTGCAGACACGGCCTGTGCCTGGCACCAGGGTGCCTCATCCCTTCCTTGTCTGCTGGTGATCAGTGGCAATCTCCAGCATGTACCAGTGACATCCTCATGCTTGCATTACTTTGAAAGGCAAGAAAGTAGGAGTAGTGCACCATGGAGCTGCAAATAACTACTCTGGAAACGCAACTTTATTTTCTGTTTTCATCTGCGTCTGATGCACCATGACTGAAAACAAGAGTCATGTTTTAGAAAGGAAACAAAACAGTCTTCTCTTCTTCATCTTTTTTTTTGAGACCTCAGATCCTCATTCCCTAGACACTCTCCTTTAGTTTTTGGAAGATCTGGGCACTGATGGGACAGAAGCAGCATGGCTCATCCTTCCCTCACAGATTCAGATATTTATCAAAAGCCTCTTATTAATGACAATAAACCAGCAAAACCCAAGCATTTGCCATTATTGGGGGATTTTTTTCACTTACAAATGTGGCTGCCTGCATGGTCAGGACTGTTCCTAAGAAACATATGGCACTGATGCGATTTACCTTGGTGTTCTTGCTGCTGGTGATAGATCTGCTTTTTTAACTCAAATGCTGGAGTCTGTTTTCTGAGGTTAGTGCAGGGATAGAGGACAGGAGGAAACCACCTTGTTTGGCCAGGTTTGTTCTGCAGCATACACAGACATTGTCTGCCTCTTGGTGCCTGGATGCTCCTGGGGATTGAAATCAAACCTCCTGTAAACCCTGGCAGGGAGCTGAGCCTGACCAGCTCCCCGGGCCTGTGTGCAGGACGTGCAATCCCCATGCCCTTGGGACTGACCACGAGTTCTCACTGGTGCCATTTATGGGGGCACTTTACCTGTGACTTATGGTTTTCAGGTCTGATTTGCACTGTTGAAGCATCAAGGCTTGGCTCTGGCTCAGGCTCAGGCCTATCTGTTTGGGATGGCTCGATGCAGGGGGTGGTTGAGGGGTAACATGGCATGGGAACACCCCTCTCAAACCCACATGTTCATGGCAGCAACCATCAGCATGTGGCCCCCAACTGCACTCTTTGGAGAGGAGCTGGATTCAATGCCTGGTGTATGTTTTCCAGTATTTGTCTTTTCATTTTCCAGAGAGTTTGTGAGCTTTATGAGCACCCAGCGAATCTCAGGGTCCTTCTCCTCCCTCAATCCCTACCTCAAACCAAACCTTTCTCCCTCTACTTGTTACCCGGAAAATTCCTTACCACTGACTAAGCTTTTCTCTTCCTCCAACCTCAAACACTGGCAGTGTTTAACACCCTACTCCTCCATTCTTGTTTTCCTCAGGATCCCTTGGTCTCATTTCTGCCTTTTAAGCTGCTAGGTTGTTGCGTAAAAAGATGGTAGAGCCTGTCTGGAATGTCCGGAGGTGCTCGGTTTCCAGTGACACCTCATAGGTATTCAGGCTGCCCTCCTCCTTTCTGACAAGCCCCATCTACAGTTTTCCTGCATAAAAAACTGCACGTCAGAGGGGAAAGACAAATGACGATAGCAATAACGTGGAAAAACATCCTCTGAACATCTGAGAGGGCTGAATCATGAACCACTTTTATCAAGGCGTACAAGAGGCACTTAAATATTAGCTGCTGCTTATAAATAATATTGGTATGTTAAATACACACATATTTTCACAGTTTTATAAAGCGAGTGATCTCTGTTTGCTTTCAACTGGAAATCATAAAGAAAAAATCAATGAGCTTATATCAAGCTCATATTATAGTCCTTGAAGAGTCAACTGACTCTATAAAAATGACTGTTTTCTAACGAAGTTATAATTAATTGGACTAAGTTGGCAAAGTTTAAGTGCCTTGTCATATTTTGATTGCTAAGCAGTGCTAGAACTTATTGATTTTATAGAACACCCTGTAGATAAATGTAATGATTAATTTCATTTGGTTTACAAGAACAGAAAACTTCTATGCAGAACTGGATGCACTATTTTATTTTTTTCATTACTGCCTGTACCTGACAGGAGTGTGGGTCTAGCTATGGAGCTATGTCACATGGCCTGGCCTTCCCTGGTTCCTTATTTATTCCAAAGAAATTTCATTTTTCTCCCAAACTCAATGGTTTTTTTCATCTAAAGGATTTTGGAGAGATTATTTTTCAACATTTATTTCCTGGTTGTTTCTGTTTTCTTTCTGAAAAAAAAAAAAGGATGTTTTTAAGTTTTATTCCATGTTTCCCTGTTTGCAAAGCCATCAAGCCACAGGTCCAAACCCACGCCCAGCTCATGAACCCACTTCTAGGTCAGTGCTTGCCTTGGGGATGGAGAAGCTGGCTTGAGGCCCCTGCTTCAGAGCACTGAGTGTCTGGGGGCCCTGTGAACCTCCCTGCTCTGCCTAGG